GAATCAACAATTTAGGTAATCACTTATTTACGCATTCTGTCACAAGTTCACAACTTCTTAAGAATTCACTGCAATTTTCGCATTTATGTACCTCATCACTCATCCATCTCGTGTCACGATTGTCCTCACCACAAACGAGAGCCATCCAAAGAGTCACGTCCATTGAAGCAGGTAGTAAAATAATGTAGAGCGGAATTATTGCACGTGCAAGACTACACTTTTATCCGTTTTGTAGAAAGAAGCTAAATTATCGCATCTAATTAATTGGAACAGTTCTGCATTTTATAAAGTCCCGCAGTACGTAAGAACCGCAGGTGATTTTATTTCTGCAACTTTTTATGCGTACTTTTTTTGCATAATACAAAAGTGAGTAAGCCAGCTCCAGTTTAATATTTATCCCGAAGCGATTCGAAACAACTAGGAAGCACGCATGACTTGGCGCAAATCTTTCAGACGAGTGATGTTTTTTTTGTAAAATTTGCAATTTTGAAACCCCTTTTGTCTGACAAAGGCGCTGCCAGAAATTCACGGGGTAGATAATACATACCTTCTTTTTAGAAAAAAATACCTACCATCTTACAAAACTGCGTCTAGCTAAATTCAGTATATAGTGACACTTACAGTTAGCAAATATGCAAAAATAGCTTCGTTTTTTACTTTGTTCACTGCAAACCACGCAATGAATACGTCCATACTTCAAGTATAACTAAATACATCGATTTAGCAAATTCTGAACATAAATGACGGGACGGAATAACTGAACCAAAATTTAGAAGCCATTAGGTATGCAGCTTCTCCTATAAAAAAAATTTGGGTATTTCAAGTCTGGGTATAAACGAACCTCCAAAAATTGTACAGACAGCAGAATATTTAAATCAAACCACTTCCTTTTTACTCAAATGCTTCAGTCAGATGGGCATAATTTAATTTTCTTAATTATTACCACTCGCTTTCTCCCTCTCGTTCTCGCTCCACTCATCACACTGTTGATTACAAAACCCTCTTTTCTCCCCAGAAAGAAGACCATTCTTTCCCATGCGAAGTAAAAATGTGTGAAAACATGGCTCGGAAAAGTGTATAAGTACATGGCCGCACAAAGGAAGAGAAAGTAGCTCGGTGGCTTTTATCCTCGCACTTTTTTCTTGTCGGAAAAATGGTGAGAGGCTCGTCGAAGAATCTAAATAAGCCATGTGAAGAGACGGCGGAATTGGTGTAATGGCATTATGGTTTCCAAGTTTGTTCTTGCATTACTTTCGAATCACATCACATTTTATGGCATGCTTGGCTTTACAAAGAAATTAAATTTGCAAGAGGCTCGCTACTTAACAAGGATCCAATTTCCAGGAGGATTTGTGGCAAACACGACGCGCATATATGGCGCACGTACGTACCTACGTTGGTGGGTTGACTTAATCATCCTGTATCACTTGCTTGGCTGGTTATCCTTATTGGTTGGTGGGCCTGTGATAATAATGGGTGTGGTTGGTAGAGGATTTAGGTTGGAAACTAATTTTTGAACGTGGAGAAAAGTATATTTTCCATGTTTTTTTTTCAATCCTGGTATAGAAATTAGTCATGGTGGTTGGTTGGCTAAATAGACGAGGACATTGTGACACGTGGTTAAGTTATGTGTGTCAAATGTGTAACTAATTTTTCAGTTAGAAGCCACAAAGGTTGCATAAAGTAGAGTCGTATTAACTTTTGATCTCAACTTTGAGCGCTAGCATATTTCATTCGGTTAGATTTATTTATCCAATTACAAGATTCTATTATAAGTAAGAAACGGGCTGAGAATGAGAATACTTGCAAAATACGTATGAAATTTGAGCATCTCTAACAAATCAAAGTTTAAAGTACTAACTTTTTATTTGATTATACAACGTGCTTATTTTTGACAAAATTGTTATTTGTTCAGTTCCTTTGATAAGGATCCATTCCATACTTACTTATCTATGAATCTTGCCTGAGAGTTTATTAATATTGTATCCTCCCAACAATAAAAATGGGCATATAATCTGACATTTGAATAGAATTCAAAATACTGAAAAGGTTGTCTATTGATCTTCAACTCAATTTTGTGGTTACCCATTTTTCGCTCTATTTATATAATCAATCTCAAAACCTAGTACCTAAAGTAGTGTAATCTCAAAATTCCCCTTCAGAATTTTGGAGAGAAATTAGCCCCACAATTTTCTACGAGTGCTTACTTTTTGCTGCCGTGTTGATTCCATTCCCTGGAAACCTGGATTTCTCAAATAGGCCTGGAAACCTGAACTGTTTGATGGTTTGATAAATGATGACTGATGATGAAGCATCCGTAGCGTGGCTGGGTGGAGAGTAATTTAAGAAGAAAGGGAAACATGGGCCGGTGTGGCGAGTGAGATTCTCATCCATCTCCTCAAAGATTAAACAACACGTCGTCTCGTCATCTCACAATCACTTATCAATCAGCCGACGAGAAGAAGAACACCTTTCTCCGCCTGCATCTACTTTCTTGCCGTTGCCATCTCCTGTTCCCTAAATATACACGCTTTCTCCGTCGCCTGTATCCTGCTGCTTTGTGCACTTCGCCTTCTTCCTCTCCCCATTCTTTGCATCATCATCCGCATCCTATTTCCCCTCCGTTAAGAGAGCCTCGTATTATTCCTAACTACAAAAGGTCTCACTCTGGAGAATCCCAAGTAATTCTGTGCATTGGATAAGGTACGAACGTATATAAGTAATGTGTAAGTAGATGGAATGAATACCTGATAACCAGCCAGAGTATAGAATAGATTTATTCAAATTAAATTCCAAATTAAATTGAGATTTCCCCTGATAAAATTGACGATTGGACAGATTTAACTCTCCTCCAGGGTTTTTTGCACGTATTATTGGACTCTGTAATGAAAATGGCTCAACATTTCTGCAAGCCAGGACTACGAGAAACGCGTACTTGGCAACTTTTTTTTATAGAAAAGCCAGACTACCGTCGTCGTCGTCGTCGTCATCTCATTTTGGTAGAAATGGACTGAGACAGCAGAGATCCCTTCTTCCCTCGGAACAATAATGAGATGAGATTAAACATAAGGATGAATTGGGTCTGGGAGAAGAAAGGGAATTCCCACCGCACTCAGGAAACCGAGGCGGAGGCATGTATCGCATTCATCATAGTATCATTCATATTTCTCCACCTCTCAACATCACAAGCACCGACCGACGGACGGACCCTTCTCTCCCACGAATCCCTAATGAAAGGCAGAAAAAAACAACAATCTTTTTGTTTAGAGAACAAAGTACGAGCTATGTAACGTGTGTGTAAGGTGTGTGTGAAGTCTGTTGGCTTTTCCTACATTTGCATCTCTCTCTCTCTCTGGTCGCACAAGGCAGCAAACATAACTAGCTGCCTGCCTGCCTGACTGAAATATGTACCAAAGTTTTCAAAAGTTTCTCCCGACTATTAGGAAACAATAAATTCACAACAATCAAAGTACAAACTTGGCCATGTGGGGTGCATCTGACATTTACAAAATGCTCAAAGTCAACCCACCGTTAAATCCGGACCTATGTACATCCATCCACATGTACAATTACGTATGTCCGTCTCCTTACTTGCACGAACCTAAGAGAAAGTTTCCCAAGGAGGAAAAAGAAAGATTATTCGAACGAAACGCACACACACTCGAACGAATATTCTTCCCAAGTAAGTCAGAGAAAAAAATCATGCAAATGTACTCCACACATGAAAGAAATTGAGTCGAGGCATTGCATTGTTCTTCTCTGATTCCATTTCAAAATGATGATATCTTGATTTCCTTTTCCACGACGCACTCCCTCCAAAAAAAGAAAAAAGGGATTGGAAAAGAAAAAGTCTGCCGTTTTCATAAGACACGAAAGGACGTAAGACATGGGACATCGAGTGAGTGAGTCAGACGTAAGAAAGGGGAAAAGTAAGAGTCGACCGTTCTCGGTTCCGTGGTGCATGGTCGGAGAGAAGGGAGAACTCGAGGGTGGCAAGCCCCGCATGCTCGCCATCTCTCCCTTTCACTCACTTTCCCCACGTTTAAAACGTAAGGGAGCTACTGCACACAAACCTATAGGACAGGCCACATGTATGTAGCAGCTTATTCGTTCGTATACCCAGCCTTGTTTCACCTTCCTTTTTTACGTATACCTGCTTCCATAGTCCAGCTGGGAAATGGTGGCCTCTTCGACCCAGGGGTAGCTCTAAAAAGCAGGGCTGAATGACGACTCATAATGTGATTAAGACTTTGATCAAGTTTATTTCGCAAACTTAGGAGGACTGCATTCAAAAGTTTGCATGTATGCTTCTGTGCATAATGTTTTCTCCCAAAAAAGTGGAGATCCACCATCCGTTTCGGGACCCGAGTGGCGATGGTTGTGAAAGCAGATGCAGGTTTGAAGGCAGGCACAGAGAGGTTTGAAACGTGGATGAGAGAGTTTGGGTACAATTTTCACTGCTGGCATTGGGTAGATATTGGGAGGCAGTGGAAGCTATAGGGAGCATTCCGTGGATAGGAGAGCGAGAGAAAGGAGCAGACCACGAGACGGATCCGATATCCGCATTTCCTACAAATACAAACTCTTAACGCACTTTCTTTCTCTGTCAGCCTTTCACGGTCACAACAACAAATAAGAGTTAATTTAGGCAGAGTTTTAATCCTGGCGAAACGCAATATTCCCTCGGCTCTGTGGTCAGTTGAAGAGTAAATAAATACACACGACTGTGTAATAAGATAGCACATTGTGTTCCGTGTTTGTACATCGTGCTCATCATTTCAACGGGTATTGGCATTATGCAGGTATGTAATTGCTACATGTATCTAGTTTTAAGCGGGGAGAAAGTGTCAACATTTTCACGAGGTGAAAATTCAATATTATTTTACATTCGTAAAATTTTCTTAAACCGTTCTAAATATTGGAAGCTAGTTAGACATTCGTCGGAATCCTTTGAGTGTAAATAAGCTTTATTTCAGATTGATTTTTTTCTTGAATTACAGCTCTCAGAAAACATTCCAAAATGATGTGAAAGAGTTCGTGAAAGATCAACTGACTGACTTTAATCCTTCAAAGTTTTCCGACTGATTCGCCGCCGTCAGAAGAAGAGTGAGAAGAGGTCGGAGAATTTCGAGTGAAAGTCTGCTGCTCCTTGAGAAAAAGGCAATAAGAAAAACAAGGTCAGTCATTCGATCCTCGTTACATAAAGAATGAATTTGCATATGCACACCTTGGTCACTTTATTTTCGACAAAGAAAAATGAGGGCAGCGGAAATGTGTAATTCGGCACAAGGCGTTGCATAGCTGGATAACAGCATAATTTAGAATTATTTTATTACAAAAATTTTATGACTCTGGGAATAACCACTCAAGCACAAATAAGTCGGAATGCATATTTACATACATTTGAGTAAATCGCACTCATACTCTGGAAATGCATACCTAACGTAACACCTTCGGGCTTTATTACAAACATAAGTAAAACATGTCGTCAGTTGCATTACATTTATAAAAAAATTGAATCGTCGTCAGCCTCACCGTATTTCACTTTGTCAGACATGACCGTACTGCAGACTGAGGTAGAAAAGTTAAGGGAATGGAACTGCAAGAAAATGTAAATCCTTTCTGATGAAGGGGCAAGTCATGCCTGTCAACCATTTCGACTTCTCGGTGGCTGTCTCATTCAGTCCAAATGTCTGGCTCACTCACATCTCAACGAAAATCAATAATACAATTAATTCAAAAGTGAAAACTCCAAATAGAATCTTGAAACGTTTCGTGTCGTTCAGACCGCAAATTTTTGTTCTCACCTCACCTCAGCACTAGGTCGATCTATGTACATATGTATGCCTCATCACGGTCATGATCCAGCCCGCCTGTTCCAATTACGCGTACATTTTCCCCATTTTGTTCCTTTTCTTATCGAGGTGACCAGGGACGAGGTAGTGCAGCACGGCAAATATTACCAAGAGTGACGCTAGCATGACTTGACTGGCCTCAAAATAAATGGAAAATAAGAGTCGAGTTTCTTTTCTCAAGTAATCGGAGAGAGTGGGGACCAATAAATCATGCGACACATGGACTTACAGGACAAGTGCATAGCCGACTGACTGCACCACCTCTCACTCAATCTCACTTTCCTCTCCACCACCACCACCACTGGCACACTTTCACTTTACAACTCTCATTCAACGCCACTTTGCTTACGAATAAGCAGCCACGTGTATTTTTCTCATTGGGAAAACGAGGCATTCAGTTCAAGTGTGGGCTGAGCTGATAAGAAGAAAAGCGTGCATGAGGAGGTCTCATTGTTGTCGTGGGTTTAGAATGGGGAGAAGAAAGCTGGTCTCCTCCGTGGGAGGAGGACCCATTGTTCTCCCGTTCGAGTAGGAGAAAGCAATTAATTCCGCACATTGTCCGACACGCAAATGAATTAGCAAGGAAGAAAGGAACTTGTTCAGATACACGTGAAATAAATGTGTGATTCCGCTCTAAAATTAGATCTGAAATTGCGTCGTTTATAAAAATCAGCGAAAAATTTGCAAACCTAATTTTTCTTGTTGACACTGCACTGTATCAATTGCTGGAAGTATAATGAGGCTAACGTACTAGAAGTGACAGGTAGAAAGAAAGTAGTGCGGCCAATTTGTTTTTATTTTATCACAAATTTATCCCACGCATGCATTGTCTTCGCTCTCTTATCTACCTATTTGTCGTCGTCCCATCATGATTAATTTTCTTTCTCGCTCACTTTCTCTCTCTCTCTCTCCAGAGATTCTCACAAGAAGCAAAGTTGGAAACTGAAATTAAAATATGAACAAAGTTTTTGCAAGACTCGTGTGTTATTTATTGCTTACGGCGACATAATTGAATTTCGCCAGTTTTCTCTTTTGTAATCCAACAGTCTGTTCCCACAAGGAATCCGATTATTTTCTTTTGTTCAGCATTTCCCAAGGTGGACACAGGTTGCGGAGGATGCCGTTCCTGCATCGCCACCCCGCCGCATAAAATATGGATCGAGGTGCTTTATTAAGAATATAATCAGTTAATTGATGGAGTAGGTTGTTCATTACGACGGGATGGCGATCCTTGGGACGAGCAAGTTGGGCCGAGTCCAACAAAATCCGAGGCAATTTTCACTCGAGACTCTCATCACCCTGACGGGATGAGGGATAATTTATACTTTCTGGCTGTATGATCAGCCAGATATACGTACGTACAAACCCAACACAAGTACATACACGCCCCACGTACGTAGGTCCGTATCTATGCAATCGTGCCTTTCCCCGTCTTCCTGGTTAGTTAGTTAGTTTTACTCGATTAGTGTTCTTTGGTGGGATGGAAGTGAAAGTAATTACTTAAAGTTTTCATGATACAGCTGTAACATGTCTTTGTTTTCTCATTAGGAATAACAAGGTTCGAGCCGCGTTATGGTTCTCAAATGCATCTCACAGGAGAGATGAGCAGCTTTACTTACTTACTTCTTATTGATTTTCCTCCCTTCTCACTTGGTGGGTGCACATATATATTCTTGGGATTGCAATTAAATAACCAAGTCAAGAAAGGAAGAAATTGGATGAGACGCTGTGTTGGTTTTTCGCTCGAGTGACTTTAACTTTGGTTTCCATTCTGGCATCATCACGTCCCTCAGTCAGCCCGCTTGTCCAGCGATTTAATCCCCTCTGCTGCCAAGTTCGAAGGGGTTTTAGCACTGCTGCATTAAGTATTACGTAAGTGTTCCGTCCGTGCCACGGTTATTTCTCGGTCGGCAGTTTGCATTAGAAGCGTCTTGCTGAATTGCGGCATAATTTAATTTACTTGAAGCCAGCTTCTCGTCGCGAATGCGTACGTAGGACGATCAAGCAAATCAAATGGCCTCTCAGTTTCTCGTGTATTAATGCATTACATGAAATTAATTTTACAATATGGTAAATTTCCCTGCTGTAATTCCCACTTCCGTGCAGTTACAGTAAGAATGGGAGCTGTTCGGAATAATGTATTCTTACCACCTTGTTCTTGGGATTCGAATCATGCACTAATCAAATTGATACTTCAAACTTTGGGCGAATTGCTTTCGCTGCCTCCTTCTGTGCCGCTGGCGGGTCGTGGTGGTGGTGGTGGTGGGTGATGTGGTTTCCACTTCTCATGCGATGGGGGTGGGACGTGTAAACAACAATTCCGTCCGACCAAGTCTGGGCCCATCCACTCAGAATTCGAAACATCGGACGTAGCCATGCGTTAAGTTGAGCAGAGCAAAGTCAACTCAAGACAAAACCAAAAAGTCGGAACAGCAGCACCACCAACCAAAATTTCGGCCCAATAGTTTTTATATGGACAAACAAAGTAATAATCAATGCTGCAGTTGGGGCTGCTTGTTAGGACAACTTTCTCCGAATCTGTGGCTGTCTCGTGCAAATAAACATTTCAATTTTGCCTTTGTCGACGAATCTTACTCCTAATGTGATCAGAAAGGGGAAACAACAACAATTAATCAAAATTTGTATAAGGCCAGCCTATTTGTACGACCTGCGTTTGTTTGTCCTCTTTTGACTATGTTTTTATGCCTCCGTGGCTACAGCTTTCTTTGTCTGAGACACAAATTTGGGCCAAGTCAGAAAATAAGAGGCAATGAAATGTAAAGATCATTCTTGCAGAAAGCCTTTCACGGTAATTACCTTGGGGCGTTGGCTGTGTTTTAATTCTGAGTCAATGTACCGCATTTGTTTACAGGGCGCTGTTTTCAATGGTCGAGTGGTCGGCAGTTTTTGGAGGTTGATTAATAATAAAAATTCATCCGATGAAAATTCCTCCTTCGAGAAGGAAACGATCCGCCAAAGGTGCGTGGCCAGGAAAAAGGAGCGAAATGGTGGATTATTAATATCAAGAATCTTGCTCGACTTTTCCTTTCCTCAAAACTTTTCTCTAATACTCGTCACCTTATTAAACTTGTGTTACAAAGAGGGAAAAGATAGCAAAGGGAAAAGGAAAAGTTATTTGTGGCAGGATGGAAAAATTACCACATTGCCATACTGCTAACGATACGTACTTACATGTCAGGAATGGAACGGGTGGAAATTTTATACTTGGAAAAATTGTGGCACCGCCGCCGCCGCTGCTGCTCAAAGTGATAAGATTCTGGCATTTGGCGAGAATCACTTTCACTTTTCCAGGTTTATGAAGAGATGGAGGCAGGCAGGCCGGTGGGATGTGGTGTCATGTTGCTTGAGGTTAAACTGAGGTCTACGTGGTGCAAAAGAAAAAAAACTTTGGCAATTGCAGAGTGAATTTATACCACCACTCCACCATCCAAGATGGCCTGGTGGCTGGTTTATTGGAATGGAGTAGGTTACTACGTATGTATGTACCTCAAGTTATCCACCTTTTCCTGGCCCCTTGCTAACTTGCCATTACTCCGCCATTATTCCCTTGATGATCGACAACTTATTCCTCCACAAGCTGAAGCTAGGAGAAGTCCTCGGCTCCACATTGGATCCCAAAATCTGCGGAAGAGGTTAATAAGAAAGTCTTTTGGAGAAGATTGGTGAAAAAAGTTTGGAGAAAGAAGCTAGTCTCTTTTTTAAAGTTTTAATATGCACGTTTTCCCTTATAATTTGTGCAACGAGATGAAAAATGTCTCTTGTTTTTTTCTTTAAAGTTTTCCTTTTCTAGTTTTTTTTAAGAATTATATATGCATTTACTCCTTGATGGGTAAAGTTTGGCAAATATCTATCACAAAATGCTGTTGTAGCGAAAAAAGAAAATAACAGAGTACGTTTTCATCCTCAGTGTCATTTCATTTTAAGTAAAAGTGTGTGAAAGCGAAACACCATTTCTGAATCCAGTCTCAATTCCAAGTTTGACATGTATCATTTATTTCTGCTGGGCGAGCTGGGATCTGTAAATGTGAGCCTTTTTCGGAGAAACCCCGGCCTAAAACAACCTACCCGCATGCATTGTGCATACATACACGTGTAACAGGATTGTACCAAGTAGCACCTTCCATCTCCTCAAGTGGAAGAGGTGAGAGTGGCAAATCGAACTATATGTGCTTCCTATGAACCGAACAAAGTTGAAAGTCAACCCAAAACTCAATTTTCAGTAGGAAAAAGAAAGTTTAGAGAATTGCGGATTATTTCTCACCATCGGCGGCGGCGGCCCTGCGTGCCTTGGAACATTTTGTCTTTTCTAACGAAACGAACTATTTGAGGGCTTCGTTTTCTCGCCACTTACCTTATTTGTCTTTGAGCCTTGATTACTTGTGCGAGGATTGTATGGATGGATGTACTTGTGTGACACCCACATTCCGTGAAATCTTGAGGCATGCAGACATGTGCTAAAGTGCAGAGCGAAGAAGAAGAGGGAGTTGTTCCTTTTTACACCTTTGAGCAATCTCCCAGAAAAGGCTTTCTCCTCTCCTGTCTCGTTCCGTTAGGTTTGCAGATAGATATCCAATTTCGCCCATTCTCTCGCCCTCACCTCTTGATTCGCAGTTTCATCTCTCACATCTCCACATACGAACGTACGATCGTATAGCACACAGTCGTCCTATGCGATGAATTGGCGTGGAAGGAAGAAGAAGAAGAAAGGCGAGAAATCTAATCTGTAGATACTTTTGGGATTTCGCATTTCTTTTCCTGAGGCACTTTCAGCATCACGAACATCAAAAGGTCTCCAATTTACGGGAATAAAATTCATTTCTTTATCTTCAACTATTGTAGATTTAGCCATACATATCGATATATCTCAATTTTGCAAAGTTAAAAATGTCAAGGGTCAACTTTCATGGGTGTATCGATTCGTTTCGTCATTATGAACTTGCATCGTTACAAGTGTATCGTAGTATTAAGTGAAAGCTCCCCTTAAGCCTTTGATACATACCACCCACACTTGGTTACTCGGTTACTCGTAACAAAAGTAGGGAAAAAATGCCTTCTCGGTTTAAAAATATACGTAGATAGACATGAAACAAAAGTTGGCAACTAATAGTTGGATAAATATCGCACCAACACCCCTCGTCCCGTAAGCTAAACCGTGTGTAAGCAGCAGGTTATCTTTGACACGAACGGTGTCATGTCAGAAGAAAATTAGGAAATTCCTTTGTCCAGTTGTTTTGTTGGTTTGTTTGCCCAAGCGATGCCTGCATTTTATGTGTGTGTGTACTATACATAATATAACGTGAAATTCAAGTCCATTCAGTACACACGGTCACATTTATCCCCTGGCTCCAAGGGAATAATCTCTGATTGCCGTAATAATACAATTAATCTCAAATTAGCTCCGACTGAAAAATTGGTGTGTGGACGTTTGCCAAATTACACCGTTCTCGTATAAAGCAGTCTTGTGAATGATTCCGTAAAAATAAATTTTATGTAGAACAAGCTTGTTAAGTTAGAGATAAAATTATTGGCAAAAGTTTCCAAAAAGGCAGTTTCAGATTTGTGTCAATTTGACCAGTGGTCGTGGCAGGCAGGCAGGTGCGTGTATTCCCTCGTGTTTACAAAGCAGACTCTTTCGACAAACAAACACAGGAGTTGGATGGTAATTTGCCTAATCGTCCTAGTCCGTTGGCTGTGTGTTGCTCTAGTATTTATGAGATAATAAACCTACAACACCATCATGAATGAGAATGCATTTACTGGCTTGGTTCGTGAGCTGGTGGGAGCAATGGCAATTCTATTCTCTTAACTGACTCACTGACTGTTTAAACAAGACAGCTTTCTCCGCAGGTGGAGTGCAACAGCCATTTTGCGCATTAGAATAAGTGACACGAATAATGGAAAGAATTCTTGACATGTCACGTATCCAGGCTGCCTTTGACGCCTGGAGATTGAAAGAATTGTAGATGAGACCCGCAGGTTGGGCTTATATATGCTGCCCTCGGAAGCATTTAGCATTCTAGAATTTTTTTTCAATCCTGAAAAGAAAAGTGGGATAGCTATCTTTTTTAGGATAGGGGCACTCTGTATTTTTTATGGTATACACAGCGGTGCTCGTGTTTCTGGGTGAAGTTATTTTCTCTCGACATAAATGACGCACGCCAAGCAAGCTTAACAAGACGAAGAAAACTTTCTCCATTCAAAATTTGCAATTTTCTCGTTAAAAAATTGTTTGCAAGTTGGAAGCGCAAGTCTGATTGAGTCCGTTATTACGTCTTTCTGTTTGTATTTATAAACTTTCCAAATCCTTCTCCTACTAGGTACGTATCGGAAAGAATTAGAAAGTTAAATCAGCCCAAATTCATTAAAAAAAAGAAGGGGAAAAATTTGCTGATTGACTTTTTTTGATTGAATCAATTCACTCCTGTTTTTAAGAAGAGGAAATTCAATCAAATTCCCAATCCGAAACTAAGTCACCTGCAGAATTTAGATTTCACAAATTACGACCATGGAAGGCTTGGTGGTACTCCTTCCTGCTGATGAAGGTGGAAAAGGAGGTGAAATTGAGTTTCCACTAATCTCGTTATTAGCTGGTTGGTGGAAAAGGAGAAGAAAAATGAAGGAAGGGATGAAGTGACTGTAATTTTCAATCTGAAAGACAGCACTTGTCATCCTTGAAAAATGTTGCTGAGTGGACTGGCCAACCGACCACAGGCCTTGTTCTCTCTCTCCCTCATCCATAATCCAATCCTATTGCCATCACCTTCATCATGTGCTATTCAGAATTCCGCAAACGTACTTCTTCTTCCTTACCGATTCAAGCCAACGTTGGAGAAGAAAAAGTGTGAGCTTCTTCTTCCACGAGTCGTGATACTGATGGTGGTGTGCCGTGGAGGCTATAAAAAATGAATGACTTTCCTCCCATTGAAAGCCGTGCGAAAAAAGAAATGGAGAAAATCCTCTTAAACCAGTGCTCATTTACTGGATCTTTTTTTTTCCACTGCTCGTCTGGAAATGGGGGAAAAATCGAGACGGGAAATTAGATTGATCTCGTTTTGATTTTTCCTACAGGCTGACCTATGCTGCGTGGAGAATATGAGGAGAGAATATATAAGGAAGGGACATGATTACAAATTTATTTTTACCAACATTTCTCTTCCATTGAATGGTCCAATCCGCTTTAAAAGTCCATTAGCTTTTAGCTTCTGATGCTCCGGTGAAAGTGTTATTTTAGGCTACTCAACCACGTCGCAACATCTTAAGCGGTACTGCCCCAAATTGTTGGCGAGGAGGGAGGCACGAGGTAGACAGACGTGGAACTGGATTTACTTTTATTCTGTTCACTTTTCCTTTTTAGAATTTTCTTTTTTTTTCGCAAAAAGAAAGACAACAAAACGAATAGTTTATTGCGATTGTTGGCCCGGGAAAAGTGTAAATACGTGTGTATTCCGCTCATAAAATTGTGGCATTCATATCGTGAAAACAGCAAGGGATGGAAGAATTTTACAACCAAGGTACATAAACCAGGGACTATTTAGGTGGTGCTAAATAAGGGTCACCTAACCTCCCAGAAATTATCACCACTCGATATCACTATATGAAAAACCTTGCTTTTATAGGCTCTCATCTTATAAATATAGATGTACATACATACTCAGGAACTATTACGTATCGCAATTTTCATCCTTGCACAAGGGAGACGAGATAAGGTGCACTTATGTAAGCTCACTTTTCACATGGTCGTTTATTGCGGCGCAGTATTTGAGTATTCTTCACGGGGTCTCGTGGTGTCAAAGCCAAACGCAATTATCGCCACCACCACCAAGAAAGCCCAAGTTTAATATGAGGCTTCTTTATTTTATGTGACAGGGAGAAAAGTGGTCCGCCGCACGGAGGATGCTGCTGTTCCGCCATGCCATCATTAACAGAGAAGAAACTCACGATAATCGAGGATGATGAGGACGGAAATCGAGGAAGAAACATGGGATTAAATGGGAGCAAAGACCAACAACGACCACTCCTCGCACAGCAACACCACCCATTTCTCGTCCTCCATCTCTTTCCCAATCCATGCCCCACACTCATTTACCCCGCCGCCGTCGATCCTCAGTAGCAATCTAGTCTGACAAAGCACTAACGAAGGGTAATTACAGCCAGGTCATCAAGACTTGTCCAGCTACCCAGCGGATGGGGTGTTGTAGTGGTGTCAGTCGCCACCGAGCGTCTCCCACCACGTCGTCCGTAATGCTCCGCAGACTGCGAAGGCTGCGTGTGTCTGCAATTTTCTACACGTGTGGCGGACTCTGTGCCATCCTCCTCCTGGTCAACTTTAATGAAGATGTGAAAAGACTGTTGCAACAATCCTCCACTTCTGGTGGCCCACATTTGTCTCCTTCCGGCCCAGCTGCGGGTTCTCTTCAACTCCAAACGTCACCCCTGCACTTGGCACAATACGCTGCTTTCACCCATCGAAAGTTTCCTCAGGACAAGCCCCACCACCAGTTTCTCGGCGAAGATGGAGCAGTTCCTCAAAACAGTGTGGATGAAAATGTGATAAGTCTCAATGCAAAGGTGAGGAAGCGAAATCCCCCGAACAAGGAGGGCGGCATTGCTGGTGACTCTTCGTCATCAGATTCCCCCCTTTTCGAGACTGGGGAGGATAAGCCATGGTACATGTGGAGTGGGACGAGGTTCCCCTCCCTCTCGAGCGGTGTTCTCTCAACCTCCGTGGACGAGGCGAGGCTGTGGTACGAAGACAATCTCAACAATGATCGGATCCTTGAACAACTCATGTTCTGGATTGACGACCCCGTCAACAACCCCAACGCCACGCTGTGGTACGACAGCAGCAGCAGCAGTGATACCACATTGTCCACGAGTAACCCCACGGTGGAGAAAAGTAATAGCAACACGGGACGGGGTGGTGGTGGCTCGTCTTCTTCATCGTTGAACCGACTCGTAAAGACGACAGCTGAAGATGACGACATATTGGCCAACGTAGCCATCAGCACTGGCAGCGTCCAGATAACTTCGGGGTCGATGAAGACTGTTGGCTCGAACGAGACTTCTTTCGGCGGCCGATTTCCGGGTGAGCAAAGGAGAGGAAAGTTAAAGACAATTTTGCTCTATTACGGATTAGGGATGAGTTGGGGATCTCATATTACAAGTGGTCGTAGTGTTTTCCTCCAACAAAAGTGTCCCGTAAACTCTTGTCGACTAACTGGGAACAGGGCGCACTTAGCAAAAGCAGACATTGTTTTGTTCAAAGACGTCTTTATGAATCCTAAAGTGAAGAGAAATCCGCACCAGTTGTGGATCATGTACATGCTCGAGTGTCCCCTAAACACGCAGAACTTTGTGGACAAAAACGTCTTCAACTTGACAGCTACATATCGACACGACTCGGACATTGTTACTCCGTACGAGAAGTGGGTCTACTATGACGAAAATGTCAAAACGCTACAACAAGGTGAGTTCTTCTTTTACTTTTGCATTTTGCTTGTACTGATAAAAGGTTGGAGAGAGAATTGTGCTCAGACATTGACTAACACTCATTCAACGGATGCATTAGAGTGAACTACGACTTTATTTGATTTGTGTCCCTCGTCTATTCAGGGTGTAGTTGATTACAATATCTCCTCGGGGAGTTGGCCGTCACCTTTCCTCTCCTGTATTTTACCATTTCCTCCTCAGGTCCAAGTTTGGATGAGAATTTCAGGCAAAGTATCGTTCAGGTGCAGAATTCACAACCAATCTAATAATGACCTACCTGTCCAACCACATATAAACACTGTTCGTCATTAGTACTGACTTCCTTAGTCAGTAGTAAATATTATTCTGGGCTTGACGTCAAGCATGGAGGAAAGTGATACATCACAGGTGCGTCACTGAGAATTAAGTAGCCTTCATGAGACGATACCACACTCTTGACTCGACTTTTGATTCCTTAGAGAGCCCCCGATTTTGCCCATTAACAAATTAAATCTGAGACAAGCCTCATTCCTCACTCAATTGTGAAAACAGAAATCGAAAAAGTTGAAGCTTTCGGAAGATGCGGGTCCCATAAAGAGTGGTTCCTCTCTCCCTTTAATAAGTTGTCTCTTTCGGTCTTGTGAGTCGTTCGTGACACTTTCTCAGATGACAGAGATGAATCGTCCCAGAATTCTTGGAGATTGAGGAGAAATTCTTATAGCCAGGGGAAATTAAAAAAAGAAACAACCCCACCACCACTACATTTCCTTATACAGTTATTGCATGTTCACCACACGAACGTTGGATTGGCAACCGCTACCACGACCACCATATATTACGCCATGCACACTATTCAGCAGTACAACAACGTCCCACGACCACACCGCCAACGATAAGTTCGGTACGTACATCTGCCTCCTCTCTGGTCGTCGTAGGTATGAGAAGAACTGCTCAAAAGTAAAAATATATACTTTTTCCCAGTGCGGAATCCTTGTTCAGTTATTTGAGTAAAAGTTAAGAGCACAAGGGACGCATAGAAGAGGAGGCAGACGAACGAAGGAAAGAACATTTCTGCAAAGTGAAACCTTAAATGTGTTCTTGCTTCATGGTTGGCAGTTGAGTTGGTTGGTCTGGGGTGGTAGTTGGTTGGTCTGGGGTGGTAGTTGGTTGGTCGTGAGCAATGTTGTTCAGCGGTGGTGGTGACAAACGACAGGGCTCGCAACAAATAGTGATCCCGTATCAAATTAAAGGTAATGTCTTGTCGTAAACGTTAGCGAGAACAAATTATGATGCCATCTCTTCTCCTCCACTTTCTCCGCTCCCTAGTTCGAGCTTATACTTCGTGTACCTATGTCAGACATTAAACGTCTCTCTGGCCTTTGTTTCCTGGTTGCACACAGAGTTTTCCAACCACGAGCAGCCTGGATACAGATCCCGGAAGGCTAATAGGATGACTTTACCGTCGTCATGTAGTAATAAAACCAACCACCCAGCAGTTGGTTCAGCTTTTACATTTGTAAAACGATTTGATGCTTGTGTTTCACTCTTTATTTATTTAAGCCCTTTCCATCAATGCGTTTAATGTGTTTCTTTTATGCTGGCTTAATTGTCGGCACAAATCACACAGAGCACCGTTTACTCACTGGCTTCTCATTTCAATAAACTTGTTATATTTAAAGTAATGACCAATTTCAAGGAGCGAGTAGTCGCTCTGCGAGATGGAAAATTGGTCTGGAATTGGAGAGAAAGTTGGTTGATGATGAAGGTTGGTGCTTACTCATCATTCAAATTTCAAAGTTCCCAACTTGGCTGAGTAATCAGTGGATGGATGACTAGAATATTGACACAATTATCAGTCCTACCCGTATTTGAGTTTTCCAGACTACTCATCAAGAGTAAATAACGTTTGGTTGACTGGAGAGGATCTCTCTCGGGTTTAAATGGTGTTTGTTCCTTACGTCTCTCACTCATCTCTCTGCTTTAAATAAATATCCTTCTGGTGCGCTTTGGAATTAGGAAAATTGCCGTCTAAATTTATCTCGCTTTTTCCTTCTTTACTTGATTTTGATGAGAAACGAAACGTTGGTGATGTTCAAGCACGTAGAAGATAAGTTTATAACATGAAAAAAGGTCTGAGGTTCGGCTTAGTGCTGTTACAAGGTGTACTCACTTATTAGCCGATGCCTAGTTGATATAGGATGAAAAGACCCTGCGAACTTTCACTTATTCAAGTACCAGATTTGAGAACTGGGTTGTTTCATGCGTAAATTTGACGAAAATACGTTTTCTCCTCCATTAAAACTTCTCGTTTGATGGAAGGATCCAGAAAACCTTGGTTCAGCAGATTAGTTCATGATGACCATGGTTATTTTTCTTTACTTGAAACACTTTTTTCCTCAAATGCATCAGGAATGACAAACTTTCCAGTAGGTGAATGCATGCGCAGGTGTTTTTTCTAGCCCACCTTAGAAAAAACGAAATCAAAGAAATTCACATACTTATTCGCTACATTTGCAGACATTATGAAAACCATTTTTATTTGAACTTCGTTTCAAAGCTGTTGAGAATTTCATTAGCAACTTGTAAATAACATGTTTACTCTCTAATACAAATACTCGATGCAGACAGAAACTTGATTTCACTTGCTGGCAGTCAACCACGAGCCAAATTATATTATCGAATGCGCACTCAAACTAAATTGGATTATTCGCAGTTGCTGGGAGTACTAAATATGTATGTACATAGTCCTGATTAAGACTTCGTAACGTTATGAAGTAGTTGATTGAAATGTGTATATATTTACCGACCAACAAGTTACTAATGACTTTTCAATCTCATTTCCAGGTGTAAACTACGCTGAAGGCAAGAACAAGAAGGTGGCTTGGTTCGTGTCCAACTGCGTCGCTAAAAATAATCGCTTAGACTACGCTCGGTAAGAAATCGTCTGTTCAGATGACAAATATTTAGCAGTTAAATGAACCAATTTGAACCAATTTGATGTCTTTCTTTATTTCCAGCGAGCTGTCCAAGTACATCGAGGTGGACATTTACGGGGCCTGTGGAACCCACTCCTGTTCGAGAGCCAATGCGAAGCAATGCTTCGAACTTTTAGCCAAGAATTACAAGTTTTATCTAGCCTTCGAAAACTCTAATTGTAGGGACTACATCTCTGAAAAGTTTTTCGTAAATGGACTTGGGTAAGAGAAACATCAACTTTCACTCCGTCTTTCATACCCCGTTCGAAATGAATTCCTCGCTTTGGCCAAATAAAATCTCAATTTCTCACTCCAATTTCCCTGCTCTCCCTCCCGACGAGCGGAGGAGCATAATGTGGGCAATCTCTGAAATCCGAAAAGTTGATGGTGTCTATTTTCAACTCTTTCACTACTGATTCAATCCGTCCATCCGGTTGTGTAGTGTCAGCAGATGTTGGATCGAAACCAAGCCAGGCAGCCAGAAAAAGAGATGGATGCTTCCGTGTAGTATGCGAAATTTAGTTCCAATCTCATTTCCATTCCGGCTCTCTCTCTCTCCAACCAAAACTTCCATAAATCAAAGCGAGCTGTGAACTCAACTCGAGTCCAGATGTCGAACTCCAATTTGAATGATATATACAAGTCACAAAGTTCAATTACCAATAGAGGAGATTTAGATTAGGTGAAGGTTTGTAGTGGTGGTGGAATTTGTTACCCGTCCTTCAGCCCAGATTCACTGCTGTCAAGCAAGACCTCACTAAATACAGATATATTCACATCGTCAAGTTTTGCTGACCACACTTTCTCCCGAAATAACACTGGCTCCTTTGTCCGACCCACTGCTGCTGCTTGTGATGCTACTTTCCTCCAGGTTGGATCATGGGGCACATTAGGCATACATTTTATTTAGTCCTAGCAATACAATTACCTCTGCCAATTGTACGTGGTTTATGATGGCGGCGGCTGCTAGTGAATCCTTCTAAGCCCAGTAATTTATGAGAAAGGAGGGCAATCGAGGCTTGTGGGTCCACAAACCCCCCACTAACAAGTACATTTCTAAGTTCTCTCCATTCATGTGGCTTTGTGTCTGGAACAGAAGATTTCAAGTGCTCTTGTTGCTTCCTCCTTCTCGTGCTGAGTTCCGTGAAAGTCCAACGGACATAACCACCCACCAGCACCAGGACCCGCTACCTACTACATATTTCCTAACGACCAACCGATACAGGTTGATTCTTGAGTTTCAGAAATTGGATGCGAAAGTGGAATACAGCCCGACTCCACCCAATGATTCGTCTACTCTGTTGCTGATGCCGAATCCAGAGAATTTATAGCCATCACTTTTACTCGCTTTGACTCCACGATACGAAACGAAAGCCTTTCTGTGCAACACTCCAAGGTTTCCGATGGAGGAGGAAATGCCAACCAGCGATACGAAATAGAGAAAGCGATTCAGCGTTTTGAGAGAGAAAGTCCAACTAAAGCATGCATCCTGCTGAATCCCGAATTTATTGTATGGCCACCAACCAACCACTCCATGCTAGCCAAAACCCCACTACTTAGCGAGTCATTGTTTGCCATACGTAAAAGCTGGCAATGTGCAATGACATCACTCCGCCGTCCCCATGTGTCCTTTTCAAATAGCTTTTTAAAAAGACTTTTTAGAATCTGCACATGTTTGTGTCGAGCACTTTGTGCAAGATTTTCTCAGGGACTTTCTCTTTGTACGTACAACTTATATGCAGACGCACGGTTACGGTTGGTTGGGCAAGTTTTAGATTTTGCGAAAATCCATCCCGTTCAAAGTGGATAAGTATTAGATAGGAAAAATAAAATTACATTTATGTATTTCTCCTACTGCGGAGTTTGATTTATTCTTCTGCATACATAGATCAATACTTGAGCTGTAATCGAGATGTAAGAAGTCTGCCAAAAAATATCTCAATTTAGACATCAAACCGTAAAGTAGAAACTTGGTCAATTTGTTGTTGTTAGATGATGACGTCTAGTTATCTTCCTGATGATACGGCAATTGCTTTGTGTGTGTTGAAACTTGTTGGAAATTGAGGTCTGGAAAGGGAAGATCATAACTTTGAGTAAATATTGGTTAGGAAAATGTCAAAAGTTTTTAATCAAACGACAATGTCACAAGCACATACATAATCAGACATGTTTTTATGCTTATAAATCAGCATGATGATATCCTTCAAATTTCATTACTCCCCCAAGGAAACTGCTGGCAATGTAACTAGTCAAATTTACTTTTAACTCTTTACCTCCTCTCATAGCAGAAATCCAATCTCATCTTGTTGTTGACTCGAATTTGGTCTCATTTAAAGGCATCCGTATCCATCCGCCTTCCCTCGTAGAGAAATCTTTATTGGTTTTCTTTCATTTTCAAATGCCGATCACTCAATTTCGCTCCCTCTCAAACACATTTCAGAGCACTTGAGAATTCCGTAAATTGGGTTTTGTTTCTGAAACTGGAACGACGAGTATGCAGTGTCCAGCAGCATACATACATATACATTCGTAGATTTCGCTCCCCATTATTGGTTGGTTGACTGCAAATGCGAATAAAAATAGATCATGGCTAGTCGACGAGCAGTTGTAGTCAAGTAATAAAATGCAGGACATGCAAGGATAATAATAATAATAATAACCATGCGGATGGGAGGTTGGGATGGAGAAAGTTTTATTTTTTAATGTGCTCGCGCCCCCTCGAATCCAATATCAGAAAGGGTAATGGTGCTCCCATAACGGGAAGTGGCTTGACTGCACGTCGTTCAATCCTACGCAACGTTTGTTTGTTAGCATTATAAAGTTTTGTTGCTTCATTGATTTTCATAGGAGAGCAAAGATCGTCATCATCATCATTGTTGGTCGGTTGGTCGTGGTTGGTATGCTGCTGACAGGATATTGTGAGGTCGTACTGGGGAAAAGGTGGGATCATAGCCCGATCTTTTATCTCACCTCGGCTGTCTCCCCAGGGGCAGGATAAAAGAAAAGCGATCGGCTTTCACTTTCAAAACCAATATATCCACGTAACACGGACGGAGAAGAGGCTGCCATCCATCCCCTCCATTTTTAAGTGACGAAATTCAACCCATTTTTGTGCCTGCTTCTGAGAAAAAATAATTCTGTTTATAAGAAAATTTTGGAGAAAAGTTATTACATAAATTGTTTTCGAAATTCTTTGAATAATTTATGAAAATTACTTTTTAATATTGCGAAACACAAGGACTACACAAGTTGAGCGTTATATAAAATTGTGTAACGCTGTTACTTTATCTCTTCCATAAAGTTTTAAGGAGGAAAAAATCACAATTTCCTCATTCCTTCGTAGTCACTGTTCCGTGGATGAATAATAATTTTTACTTTACGAACGAGCTCTTTTCAGTTATACGGCATACTTTTCCCTCAAGAATAATACCCATCTCTCATCCTGCCCTTCGGAGTGAATGTTCTCCTGATTGCACTATCCAAAACATTCCCCAAAGTGTGAAAGATCTAAAGGAGGAGGGAGCGAATGGGTGATGTCGCGTTCCAAAAAAGCATATTACTTTGTCGCCCGTCCGTTATTCCTTTGTTTCAGAATCGCATTACATCTCTCGTCGAATGACAGACAATAAGGATCCTTTCGTCCAGTGTGCAAAAGGGACATGGACACTTTCCATCTCGCTCCGTGTCTTTTTGGCGGATCAATTACTCGCTGCCTGGTTTTGCTGGGTGCGATGTAGCACAGTTAAATTTGATGCAGAAGACTTTGATTTTCCAACTCGTACTTGTTACTAACGCCCTGCTACACCTCGACACAAAGGCGAAAGCGGTTGCAGAGAGAGCAAGAACAAACTACTCTCGTATTTGTATCTGAATCTGACTTTCTTCTTGAGTTACGGCTCCAGAGTTGAACTTGGAACATGGTTTGTACATCCTCAGCTTTGTATTATTATTCTCTGGCTGGAAATTTCCGAGAAAGTTGGACAATTTCTCTGAATCTGAGTACTACTTAAATATACATATACTCTTCACATGCCTTACATGAGTGGATCTTGTACATTGCTCTCTCTCTCTGGTTATGCATTTAGAATGAAGTAGCCAAACTGTCACAACCACTTTGCTTCCAGAAGAGGAATTTAATAAAGAAGAGACAAGCTTGGCAAAGTTCTTGATACGAGGTTCTTCACAGTATAAAGTCTAAATGGCCTCCGTTTTTGTCAATACTTTGACGATATGATAAGTGTCGTCAGAACCTATATATTTTGGGGGCAATTTGGAAATATATGTTGACAAAAGGAGAGCTGCCCACACGGATGATGGACTATCAAGTAGTAGATATGGGTTTGTGATATTGGAAAAATGTATTTTGGGAGTTTGGAAGCAGAAAGTCTTGTGACTTATCAGGAGAAACCCAAGTAGGAAGCTACATATGATGTACCTCTTCTATTGCAATATCTCATTGCAGGAGAGTCCTGCTTTCTCCGACTAACTGGCCAAGAGAGAACATCTCCTCGGCTCGATTGTCATGTGAAGGATAATCTCATTTCAAGTTTGATAATAAGCTTTCTCTGTCTGGCCAAGAAATCCCATTCATCCGGGGATTATGCTTAATGGTGTCCATCTTCTCTCCCAGCCTTCCTCGACGACTTTCTCCCCTCGACAAGTTAAGCTGCTCAAACTTATCGTGCTCCTTGTATCAGGACATGTCTCGCTAGAGCTAAGCCAAGCCAATAACTGCAAGTTTGATGACAGCCATTGGATTAAAGCGTGCTAACTTGGTTAATGAAATGAGATTTATTTTCATACTGTCACCGGAAGAATCATGACGTTAAATTAATAAAACGACTCTTGTCACTTTGAGGTCGTGTAAACTGACGCGGAATTAAACAGTAAAATAATTTGTTCACAAAATGTAAAATTCCCATAATCTTTTTTTCCTTTCAGAAACAATGTGCTTCCAATCGTGATGGGTGCTCATCCGAATGATTACAAACGCGTCGCCCCGGATAAATCGTACATTCACGTGGATGACTTCGCCTCCCCGAAGGAACTCGCCGAGTATTTGTACCTCCTCGACAAGAATAATGAGCTGTACAACGAGTACTTTCAGTGGAAGGGGACCGGTGAGTTTATCAACACGCACTTTTTCTGCCGTCTCTGCACCATGGCGCACTACGCGGACAAGTCGGAACGAAAACCACGGCACTACAAGGACTTCAACAAGTGGTGGCGTGGACCCAACGTTTGCACGCGAAGATCTTGGCGAGGCCAGCCGGACATTTTCTCTCCACAATATTACGAACGCCCAACGATGGATAACTAATGTACTCATCGCTCGATAACCTTTATATATATAAGTTGTTGACATTTTTTGTTTTTATATTATGAATTTTGATAAGTAACGAAACAGGGGTTGCCATAATATTTGGTCTAGTAGTCACTCGTTGCTCGAAAGTATTTTGTTTGTTGGAATTTCTACTGTTTTCAGTTGTGACCTGATTCAACAGTCATATATGTGTGTACCATAATTAAGAGTTTTTTACCATTACACAGTAATAATTATGAAGTCAGTTACCGTTCATTGTTCTTACACATGTAGTCAAAAAGAGTAATCAGAGAACATTTATATATATCGATCGCGGGTGCAGCAATCATGCAAAGTACTTAATTTGTTGTTTCCCTGGTCCTTGTAGACTTATGTATGATGATGATAACTATTTATAAATGAGGATGACTATGTTTGAGCACAATTACATAATGGAAATGAGATATTTACGGTACTGAGATATGATGTATGTACACGCATTCCTACTAAATATAGTCTCATGCACTTTAGTAAATTTATGACTTTTATCCATGTAAAGCGTTACGTTACAGCCTCAAGGGTAACTTATTCTAAGGTAAATATATAAATAAATGTATAAATGCACAGAGCCAATTAAATATATCGATGACTTTTTAATGTGGCAAACTGCACACACGAACGAACGAACTATTTAGAAAATGTATATTCCAAGTAATCGAATGAGGGGAGACAGAGCGAGATTTTATCGTGAATCCGGATATGACTGGAAGATTATGCATCCGATTTGAGATTTTTGATCAACATTTACAAAAGAATCTTCCACGATTATTAGCAGCAAGTTGGACAAAGGCAGGAAAAAAAACGTGTAAAAACTACATACAGAATTTATTTTACCAATCACAATATTTCCATTGGCTTCAACAACAACAACATCCATGTTGGATTCTTAGTGAGATTAACGTAAATTCCAAAAATAAGTCGAATTCTTAATGACACCAACAAAGAGTAGAAGGAGAAAAGTTTGTCTGTGATACCTGCAAAGATTTGTAGTATTAGGGTTGAAGTAGGCGTAAATATGAATACAATATTTAGTATACAAATAAATTGCCAGTAAACACGATCTGCATGTAGCTGACGAACTACTCCAAATGAGATTTCAAAAATGGACAAATATTTTGCGAAAAATCATAAAATACTTACAGCTATACAAACATCAGAGTTGAACTGTTATCCTAAAGTTAACTCTAGAATGGGTACTGAGATACGTTACGTTGTGTTTGAAATGTAGAACTAGAAGTATAATTTGACTTATATATGATATCTAGCAGATAAGGAACTAGGTAACCTGCAAACAGCGGCCATCACTAACAAAATGCATCAGAGTAGAATTAGTTTTGTCGTCAAGGACAAAACTAATTATTAGTCTATGAATAAATACTTAATTAGTAAATGTTTAATTAAGTACTGATAAATACAAGTAAGTAAAAGTACGTATGAATATAGGACAAAGAGTATATGTGAAAATGTGTATTTAAACTAGATTCATCGTTAATTCAAGTACTTCAAACTATGATCTTGTCAAGAAAATCGTCAAGTTCGCTCCAAAAATCAACCAAACGAACTTATTCTTTGTATTGTATGTAATACTTGCGCAATTACATTAAATATGTCGTTAAGTCTTGTTCACATTCATGAATTTTTATGAAGTTAAGTGCTAGTTGTACCATCGTCAAGTAAATATATGTACATTTAGTTGAACCCGTATACCTACAGTCAATCATTAATTGTATACATACATAAATATCTAATTATGCATAGTAAGTATGATATACAATCATAACTATTATTATTGACCCACTACTACCTGCAACCACAAACAAAAGTTACCATAATTAATTAATTTAGAACGTAAAGTCTGTCAAAATTTATCTGCATAACGTTCAAGTGTTGTATCATGCCAATCCTTGAAAGTTTATGTGTTGTTGTTCGTTGTCACTTTGTTTACATAAAACTATGCTAGAATTTGGTTAATTCAGTTCCTTGCATTACTCAGAATTGATACGTTATTAAAATTCTGTCTGGTGGTTTGTGATGAAACTCAAGTTTTGCACCAAATAAATAAGAACACGACAAACTTATCGAATATTGAATGCGTTGTGTTATTTTTGTCTGATCAAAATTATTTATAGCAAATTGAAATAGTAACAACTTGCATGATTATCCGGATGGGATGTTGCATTTCACAGGGAGGAAAGCATACAAAATTTTTACAAAATACTGTCAATTTTTCAGATTATGGCTTATTTTAAGAATTTCAGAATTTCAAAATATTGGAATCAAATGTTGCATTTTTCATAACTGTATTGAACAAAGTATTTGGAACTGAATCCGATTTGGCGAAGATGCTTTTTAACTTGCTTAAACGATTGAGCATCCAAAGCCGACTTGGGGCTTCCAACGGTGAACCCTTTGCGCCCATCGTTCCACAAGCAGACGGTAACGACGTAGTTTGCATTGTCTGAAAATGTGGTGTACGAAGTTGCAACATATTCTGAAATTAACAGGTAACTTTAATATTGAAGACACTGTTTAATGAATGTAATATATGAAATGCATTATTTAAAAATCACCATATTTTCCAGTCTGGTCGGGAGCACTCCAATAATAAATCCCTGCACGAATGGGGTCTGGATAAGCGTGGTATTCGAGTTGCTGATCTCCAAATGCGGAAAATGTCACACTTGTCCCATTCTCCCTGTAGGTTGCACAAGTATTGTCCAAATCTTTTTGCGAGAGCTGGTTGAATTTGGAATTTCCATAAAATTGTTGGGCATTGTGGTAGAATTCGACCTTGTTCCAAAGTGGGATGTACCACTTGTCGACACTGGCAACCTAGGACAATATTTGCATGTTTCAACTCGTATGACTGATTTCGTTTTAAATTCTTACCCAGGCATCGTCAAGCCCAGATTGGACTGGAAATTGGTCGCATTGATACCGTTCGTCAACACCGTCAAAACTTAGAGCTTGTATCATAGAGCCAGTCATCAGGAGGCAGGTGATTTTAAAAATCGTTTTCATGATTTCGAAGATATTTCCAGAAATTTTACAATTTTTCTTTGACTAATTTGAGGAAAGCTGTGAGAAGACTGAAGTGATGATTTGCTGTAATGCATTGTCTTTTTATACCAACTCAAAGCCTTCCACAAATTGAAGTTTGAAGGATCTCACAAAAATTCAATTGTTTCATGACATAACTTGACAGATCTGATTTATGCGCGACAAAGGGTTTTTGGAACTATGCCGAATGTTTCAGTTACAAGGTTTAAGGCCAGTTTTTTTTACTCGAAACCTTGGTTTTGTGAGCTAGGCACAGCACAATCCATTTTGTTTTGATATTCTATTATGATGTTCAACCCAGTTCCATCACATTAAATGCTAGAATTTTATTATGAGGCCATGCGAATGGTGAGAATGCAGTCTGATGCACAAAAGTCCAAAGGGAAAAAAACTGCATGCTTTTAACTGACATTGAGTGCCTAATTTAATTTAATTTATTCCAATAACAGGGAGATAACCAGTATTCCAAAAATGCAGTTACTCAGTGAATAAAATATTGTTAAAAAACTTGTTTAAATTAAAATATTATGTATTTATTGAGTACATGTATTTATATTACAACGGTAAATCAACATTATGGCACCAAATTGTTATCTACTCGTCATCAGACCTCTCTCTGAAGGTCAAGGGAAGAACATTCCCGGGCTGAATTAGCCATTCATACTTCGGCTCTAAGGGACAACTTCCTGTAACTTCGAAATTCCGGAAGATCTGTAATTTAAGTAGTATTAAGTCCCACAATTAAATATGTGTACTATGAAAAAATACCATTTTTAATGCATCTCAACAACTAACCCTGGCCAATAGGACATGCACGTAGAGCGTGACGATTCTTTTTCCTGGACACGAACGTTTTCCGTAGCCAAAGGGGTGCATAAGGCTTCGTCTGTGGGGCTGGAATCTGGGCTCATTTCCTTCATAAATCCAACGCTCTGGTAAAAATTCTTTCGGTTTGTAAAAGGAATCCTCCTGCATAACAGCAAAACCCCACTGAAGAATGAGTAGAGACTGAAATTGGAGCAATTTAAGGCACTTAGTTAAACAAGGTACCGTTGGATTAAGAGAAAGATAACTAGATTTGGTCATGTTACGTAGGCTGGTATCAGGTAGCCTCCCAACTCCAAGGGTTGCTCCACAAGTCTCATTATGTTGGGAGCAGGGTTGCTCATTCGATAACTCTCCGTAATGCAAGCCTTCAAGTAAGGAAGCTTCTGGAGTTCGTCATAGTTAAGTTCAGAGTCCTTCGTGGGGAGGATGGTCTTGAGCTCTTCGTAAAGTTTGTTAGAAACCCGTTTGTCCCGACTGATCCAATACAATGCGAAAGTCAATGCAGAAATGACCTAAAAATATAATCTACAGTTTTGGCCATGACGGAATAATAGGTGAGATAAAAATATCTGCAGGTTTTACACTGTCCCCCGATCCCAATATCGTTTCTAGTGCCAATAACCGCTTAGTTTTGTATGATACGTCCTTTACATCAAGCAATCCACCCAACAGCCCTTCATGAGTTGAGTCTTCCTTGATTGATGTTTGAATCATATTTTCCATCATACTGAAAACAGAAGAAATTGAGTACATGAAATGAAACCTGTAATTTTACTTGTGATTAGTTGTACTCCAAAAGAAGGCTCTCGCTCTTGGCGTTCTGGTTCCACAAACTGGTGGGGAAATACTTCCACCATGGGAAGCCGTATGAGGACTGGTGTACTGCTCTCCAAAGTCGGTCGTGGGTATGAAGGAACTCTTGCATATTCGTTGGGACCTCGTTGAACATGAAACCCATGCGCCTTCCAAAGACGTTGTAAAAAGAGCCTGTGATTGAAAAAGTTGACCTAATAATATTAAAAAGGTGTCTGATTTTTCGAAAACACGAGCTTACTTTCAGCTGCGAACTTTCTAACCAGGCTTTGTACATCTTCAATATATGGACCTGACTCTTTGATTAAGTCCTTAAAGTCGGCCGTCATCTCAGCAGCTGCGGGGGCTATTGACTTGATAAAATTGAGGTTTGTGATCAATGGGCTCAAAGCACCATGGAGCATTTCCCATTCTTCTCCTTGGCTAAACGTGAAATATAGAGGTGCTTGTACTAAAATAATTATAATAAAATGTATCCAACGACCTTACGCGTTTGTTAGTCCAATAGAGTCGTATCGGTCAGGATGATTACTCCTGTACGTAGTGAGGATTTCCATTCCTGGTCTAAAATTTCCAATCATTTTGCTCGCATATTCGATGTGATCAGCGTCCAAGAGGTGGATCATTGGAAAACCCCAGAGATGTTCTTCCTTCACAATCGGACCAAATTCTTTCCATCTTCCTGTAAGTAAAATTGCAAGTTCTGTAAACTAATTTAAACCATTTATCTTCATCAAAAATCCAAAAACCTTCATTAGCTTTTAAGAGATTTGTCATTTTCAGAGCTGGACTTGTGAGTGTGGTTCCAAATATTGGGAGAGGTGCTGGACCTGGGATCTGCTTCACAGATTTTAACTTTGGCTTGTCAGATTTATCGCTTTCCTTATTTGTCCCTGATTTATACAGTATATTTGCATCTTTAATAACTTGTAATTATAATTCTGCAGTGAAAATATTCAGCTCACCATCGGCATTACCAAACATAAAGGTGAAGAAGTTCAGTATTTGCATAATTCCATGTTGTATAAATTTGAGAACCGTTAAGGTCCACACCAAAACTGCATTTTGTATTGTCTCAGCAGATTGTTCCATGTTGTCAAGATCTAAAGTACGAACAACATAAGGATCGTGACGAATGATCAAATCGCTTGGTTAGATCTGCCAATGAGTACGAGCTGAAATTAAGAATTGTGCATTTCAAGTATGTATAGTATGCATTCCATTAAGGAGACTTTTATAGTTTTAATTACACATAACTTTGATAAATGGTTACCTGAGTACTTCGTTACGTCGAGAAAGCCAAAGCGTGTGAATAACTATGAAACTGTAAAACAATTTAAACTGTAAACTTTATGATTTACATCTATAGACGAGTCAAGTTGTCACCTCAAATGATTTGAGAAACAAGAAGTTCATATCGTAAGAAGTGACACTTTCGTTTTGCATATGTGTGAAAATGATCATCATATGTATAAATATTGCACTTAAGAAGTAGATAATTTTATTCAGGAAAGTTGAGCAATTTCTTCCAGGGATTTGGGTGGAATGTCTATGGCATGGTGTGGTCGAGTTGAATTATAGTAAAGATAATACATACATGTGATAATACATCTGGTGAACTACATATCTCTCTCAAGGTTACTAAACTCTAATTTCTTATCTAATTAAAAATTATATATACTGGATTGTGTAGGAATCTGCGTCTGTACTATTTATTTGTACATATTTAATAGCAACGTAGGAATGACATTGGAATTGGGGAGTTTAATCTCTGCCCAAGTGCCAAGTATCTACAAATTTAATTCAACACTAATGTCACTTAAAACTTTTATTTGTACTTCAAAACTTAATGTAAAGACATATTTTCTCCCTTGAAAAATGAAGCAAACTGAAGATTCATTTTAAACAATTTAAAGTCACTGTATGGAGTGAAAGTAATGTCCATTTCGAATAGTTTGAGCCAAGTCAAGAATTTTGAGTTTTATACGCTATAACTCATAATTAGTGACAGGCACAAAATATTGTATTTGGTTAAATTCAGGAGTGTTGATATTACATTTTCTACTATGGATTGCACAACCAAAATACATTTTCTACTAATGTCGATCTTTAGAAAATTATTTACTTTCCAAAAAGTGAAAAACTGAGTCACGTATGTAAATGTGTCTATAATAAAAAGTGTCAAGATTACTGGTTTTCCAGCCGGTGACGGGTGAATTACATTTTATATCGATATAAAGAACCTCATGTAGTAGCTTAACCTTACAATCAGCAGTCACTTTAATGGTCACATAGTAAACTAAACCAGTATGCATATTTTGCTCGTATATGCATATTTTAGAATTCGAATAGATCTTGTTGTTCATCGCCAATAATACTTACTCGTGACCTTTTGGGTGGATTAATGACATGATATTTATATCGTTAATTTGTATTATACACGTAATAATTAAATTCTGTATGTCAGAACTTTTATGAACGAAAGTAAACGCTCGGGGTGACACCAAATTAGGTTGACTTTCAGTATGTCCAAAGATAGAAAATTTTAGTTTTCATTAAGCGTCAAGTTATTTTTCGGTACTTGTCTATTTGTGTTATGTATAGATGCAAAGTTGAGCTAACGCCTGCATTTAATTTGCAAAATGAAAATACATGAAATGTCTCATCTTTTTATGGATGTGAATATTTTGCTTGTAAGCAAAAGCGTCGTAAATGAGATGAGATTCTCATCACGAGAATTTGAGACGAGCGAATGAGTGACTCGAGCAACTCCCAAAGCAAACTCACCCTAAAACAGGTGGACTATTTACATTTTACAGTCATCATTTTTTTACAGTCATTCCATTACACAATACACAACAAACACAACCTACAAATTAGAATTATCATTAAATTAAAATAATCTAAATTATAAAAATAGACTCTAGATTGTGACATTTGGACTTCGACAAGTTAGACGTGTTTTGATTCTAACTATTGATGATATAAAAATGGTAAATAAATCTACATTGTAGATTTGTAAAATCTATCTTAGAGTGCTTAAATTGTAGATTCTACAATTTAAGCACTCTCTAGTTTATTGTTTAATAAAAAATATACAAGTCATATAATTGTCTCAAATTTCAGGACCTTAATCACGACCAAAGCTCGACTAGTCTGGATGAAGTCTGTGAGAAATTGGACCTTGTCCTTATCCGACAATTAGAGTTGATTCAGGAATATGTTGACTTGAGCCTCAAGGGAGAAGTTCACCAAAAGGAGGGTTATCTCCAGTTGGCAAAGGCACGCTACGTCGAAGGACCAAATTCTGTCTCCAAGGTCTACCTCCCCACGGAAGACTCGGAGGAATACGAGGCTCTTGTCACGGTGGGGTTTTCGGAAAATAAGGACCATGACAAGGAGACTAATTGTACAAGGGTTCTCCTTGAGGACAAGACTTCCTCTGAACATAAGAACAAGCTCATCCGCCAATTCGGAATCTTGTCACCTCCCTGTGTCAAAATCGCCCAGAACAATTTTCGACAGAATTTGGCCCTTTGTATTGATCGAGTTAATGTGATGGAGGAACTTACTAAAGTGCAGAAAGAATTTCAATCGTTACAACACGTAAAAAATTTATTGATCAAAAATCATATTCCGGAACCGTAATTTTTGGCGGAGAAGATCAACTAAATGAGATTACATAAGTTTGTATTATTAGTGATCACAATATTGTAGCTCATGCAGTTCGTTGGAAATAAGAAAAGTAATTTTGATGAATAAACAGATCCGGTACATTAAGAAGCATCTCTACTAGCATCTTGTGCTGCACAAATACTACGTTTCTAAATTCTAACCATCTTGATCACATTTATTAGGATTAACCTATTAGCAATTTTTGGATAAAACTTTAACGGGTATAAAAAAATAAATAAATAAGAGTATTCTTAGGTGACGAAATCAAAACATATAGAAATTAAAATGGTTCAATTATTTAAGATTACGTAATCACGTCGAGTGTCATATTTTCAAAACAAGATTGCAACAGTTTACAACAGTAAATATTAAATTGACTAATTAAAAACGCGTAAAGGAAAGGATAACAACTTGAAATTATGTAAAACTGTAGAGGTTTAAAACATAGCTGTTGATTAACATATTAAAAAGGTAAATATTGAAAAACTGTAAGGTTAAATAAAAGCAGCAGAAGGGGTTACAAATTTCTAACCTACAGACATCAAACATCAAGATATTGAAACGACAATTAAACTACTGACACTTGAGTGACACTACTGAATGCTTAAAGACCACAATTGTGGCTTCTCATACGATTTGAGACAAAAAAGCTATACTCTTTTTACTACAAGTCAAACTTCTTTTCAAAGCAACGTGGGCAAGAGAATAAAAGTTTTGCTAACTACTTAATCATACAGCTTGTTTTTGATAATATGAATATAATTATAAAAATAGTCTGATTGAAAATTAAAACCATCCTTGTAATTTTCTCTTATAACTTATAAGTAAATCTCGAATCGATAATATAAAGATGTAATAGATAATCGTACTTTTGTTCTGAAATGATGGATTTGGCATTTTAAGATGCGTCCGTTCATTTTATAAGTGCTTGGTTGTTGTTGTTTGATGTACAAGAGATGTTTTACTTGTATGAGGGTCTATGATGTCGAAGAGAATATGACGGCTTAGCTTCCTTGTTCTTGGAGCTCGATGGAGTTGCAGCAGGTGCTGGGGGCGGAGTTGTTGTCGGCCCCACTGATGTTTCTCGGGACAAATCCTCCCGACCAAAAGATTTACGAACTCCCATTACAATAGTAGCACCACTGTTGAGAACAGCGTCGTCAACTTTTCCAGACAGTCGTCGTCGAGAGTTCCGCTTTCCGTCTTGATCATCCACCAGTTCTCCGCCACCTGACTTTGGGAGTTTCTTTGACGAGGTTGCAATGGGTGCTGATTCTTGATGAATTATGTTTTCAACTGATGGTTCTTTCTTTACAGTAACAAAATTCGCAAACGTCACAGTCGACTCCTTTTTCTTTACGATCGGAGGCGGCGTCGCTACCTGCTCTTTCTTCACAGTCAAAAAGGGTGTCAAAAAGCGCTGTTTCTTCATGGCTGCAACCATTGCCATCCTATCCCTATTCACAATCAGTGTCGCAGTTCCAGGTTTTGCAAGACATCTCTTTGAAGAGAACCTGGAGGGTTCAGTTTTGACTCGTTTGTGCTTCTCTTTCTCTCGTTTGCCCTTTGACTTTTTTCGGTGTTCCTTGGTGGACTTTTTAAGTAATTTCCGACTTGGTGTGCCCCCAGCAAACAAGTGACAGTTGCTTTCAGTAATGTAATCCTCCTCATATGTTGCAGCTCCAGTCTTGTACCAATCATTCCTAGTCACAATGCCTCGAATAGTTGTGAAATATCTATAAATGACAATAGTAAGTAAACATTATTATTTTATACTTCGAGTAAAATATTTGAAAATCTGCTCATCACATAACACACTTACCTCAAAATACTGTTCATTTCTTCAACAATGCTGCCCATCTTCCTTCGTGGGATTGCAGTTCGGCTTAGTACTTCCGGCATTTTAACTATTAATTACAGTGACATATGATTAATGATATGATTAATGACATATGATTAAATTAATGTGCGTTTGTGTCTTTGGCGATGCTATTTTAAAATTACATATTAAATTAATATTATTATATTAAATACATAAATTAAAAATTGGTACCAAAAAGACGCAACAAATGTTGCATTCCATAGCACATCGATGGATATGGGACTGCACTATTCATTTCAGATGGAGGTAACAGTTGATACTGATACAACTCGTCCATAAATTCATTCAAATGACGACATGCCCAAGGAAATTTGCATTTATCCTCCAGCTCACAACAAAATTTTTCCTTGCTAAATACTGCAGAAGTTGGGATTGGAGCGCTAGCCCTGTCGTTAATCAAGTTAATTTTGCTTTATCGTCAATATAGAACAATACGTGAAATTTTTCTAAAATATGAATACTAACCGCATCAGTAGAGATTCTGGGAGGATAGGAATTTTGCTTTTGTCATCATCCTCCTCTGACGGATACACAATCTTAGCACCATGAAACTTTCTTTGCTTTTGGACAGGCTCGTCATTATCCAGTGGTTCAGTTTTAATTTGACTCAGAGGAATCATTTCAATCTCTCCGACATCGTTACTGAAAAGATAAAACAGAAGTTGAAGCATTGTTCCAAACATGATAAAATGACTAAATAGTATTCTCACTGCTCATGAAGACCCAGAAATTGTATTTTTGGAATGTTTAGAAACCGCTGAATGTTGCTTAATTTTTCCAGGGCAGGAACTTTTTTGATGAGTTTTTCTATTTTTATTATTGGTAAAAGGTATTTTACATTTGGGACAGTCAAACGCTGGATGTTTCGAAAAGTGAGTTTGGTACGTGACAGAATTATGCGTGTAAAACTTGCATATAGAACAAATAAAGTTTGCTTTTTTATGATGGGAGATGGATAAGTGTTTTGTTAAACTCTTCTGCGTCATGTAGCTCCTGTCACAATAACCACAACTTAACCGATCATCATGTTTAACTAAGTTTTTAAATACTTTCGGCAGGGTCTTTATCGGTTGAATATTTGTCTTCATTAATTGCGCAATATCTTCTCTAGTACAATGAATGTTGTAAAAATTTCTTGTTGTTACTTTAATATCTTTAAACACACTACATATATCTGTGTTGAAAGAAATTTCAAAAATGTCTGTTTTCCACAAACTCTTAACTTTTGCTTTTAAAGTCTGCAAATCCTTCAGGTGCTTTGCGTATTTGGCAACTTCCGTATTAAAACTACGTGGAGACAAACCGAGGTATTTAGCAGGGTCTTTTCTGTATTGCTTTTTCATAACACGTGAAAGTAGAAACAATCCACATTCTGAAGCACTCACACTAGAACTAGTTGAACTTAATTCCTCAAATTCGATTTCAAAAAGTCTGAATAACCTAAAGTTAGTATTCTGCCGTTCAGTGTAAATAACTTGTTCACCTTCAACTAATCTATACGTGTCGCAATAATCCCTCCCATATCCCCTTATGCTATGCACCGACGACAACTTTAAACTATAATTATTGGGGTCAGTTAAATCGACGAAAACTTGAACACGATAACCTGCTCTCACTTGAAAGAAGAAAGAGTCTTCATCATAGAGACTGCCATCCGAATCACTTTCACTGTTTTCAACAATAACTTTTTCCGTTTTGGATTTACGACCTAGTTTTACTTTACTTACTTTCTTGCCTTCGTTAATGTCAGGCAGGGCCCTTTTGAAACTCATATTTTAATTACTTTATTCCTTGAGCCGTGTGCCTTACCAACTAACTACCTTGCTCAGACTCGAACTCTCAACTAAACAACAGCAGCCTCCAGACAAGCGAGACATGGTGAAACTTGTTCGAAGTAACCAGCACTGAGTAAAAAAAACCAAGCGCTGGGGGTTTTTTCACTCAGTATTTTTTGCACAGACGCAGGGATATAACAGGCAGTACTCTCATACAATCTGGGTCTTCATTAATTAACAGGAATAACTAATTATTTAGTCGGTATTTTACCCATACTTACCTATAACGGAGTGAAGTTGCCTTGACCAACGGAGTTGTAGGATCCACAAAAGATGCAGAACCACTTGTTGATGGTGCAAATATAGTTTGAGATGGTAGTGAAGGTGGAGTACTTTTTCTGCTTGGCCCTGCTTTGACATCCGAGCTTTTATTCTCCGAAGAATTGCCACCCAGACTTCGAGTTTTCCGTTTTAATGGTGGAACTGGTGGCGGTGGCATGTTCCTCTTGATGACGTTCTGAATGATCAAATCATCTGGATCATCTTCTACTATCGGCTCCGTTTTACTGAAAAGCAAATGAATGTTCTATTTGAATATAAATTAGGATAAAAAGTATAAAACAATCTTGCAAATATCAGCTTACATGGTGATAATCAATTCTGGGACTAAATCCGGAACTGGTACCACTGGCGTACTAAAATGCCCAGCCAAAAAGTTATCGTACTGATCGTTTTCGTTTTGAAACAACAAGATTTGTGACAATAGTGAGTCAAACATGAGTCGGACATCTTGAACTACGATCCTTCTAAATGTGATCCGCTTCAGTGTTTTGATCAGTTCATCATTTACTGCAGCATTCAGCGATGGAGTTTGGCGAACCGGAGGCGGAAAAACTTCCATTACATTATTCAAGTATCCCACATTTGGTTGTGTCATCAGTGCCTGCAAGTGCTCCACTTTTGCAATGTAGGAACGCAACTCTGCTTTTGCTGAGAAGCGAATATACTCCTCTAATAGATCAATCACGGTAATTCGAGAAGGTAGCTTGATAAGCTGGGAAATATTAAGAACACAATTAAATTTTTAATTATCAACTATGAAACTAATTCTTTTATTCAACTTGAACATACCCATGTCCGATTTCTGACTTTGTTCCAATCGTATTCCAAGATTTTTTTCAGCTCTTCGGGAATAACCAACTGTTCGGATTGCCTGACTAATTCTCCCTCTTCTTCCGAACTATCATAATCCGTCAAATCCCGTTCTTGCTTAATAATTGGCGTTGTATGTTGCCCCTTGTTGTTTCCCTTCCCTTTAGTTTTACCCTCTTTCTTGATGTTTGACGCGTTTACAGTGACTGCTTGAATTTTTTCTTTGATTGAGATTTTCTTCTTTTTCTTTTTTCTACAATGTAAAAACATCAATTTGTAAGAATTTAAATGTGTTTACTAACGGTAATAAGACCAGCTATATCTTTAATTCAAACTTACTGCAATGCTTTCTCAACATCAACTCTTTCTCTGAGTTGTCGCTGCAGCTCTTTGTTTTCATTTGTGCTCTTCAAAACGTTTTCTTCTCTGACATAGCGATCCCATGTGCACTTCCAACCCTACAATGACACACAGGTCCATGGCATGTCAGAAATATATATACAATGTATGTATGCACCTAATTAATGTTAAGCATTACCTGGAAATGGATTTTGTATTCATAACAAGCCCCAGTTGTCTCTAACTTCCTCACGACTTCAAGCACCTGCCCAACAAAAAAGTGACGACTAAATAAAACTGCGTTTTACTAGAATTTGTTGCAAATCCGTTAATACCTTCGAATCATACAAGACTTGCGCCTTCTTAATATCTGGCTCATAGCAGAGTACTTTTTCATTCACTTTGAAGAGTGGCTTGGGCAAAGGGGCCGGACTGCCACCCCCACCCGAGCGATCTTTCTGATTCGCCATGTGTACTAATGTAAATTACCACTTTCGAATGGTAATTTGCATGGTTTTGTGCAGTGTTTGTGCACAGCGAAAAAAATTCTTATTTGTGTTGTTGTTGTGTAACAAAAACACAATAGGCTTTTAGACAACCCGGTTGGTAATGCCAATGTGAGAAACACCTGATCCGAATTCAACTCGCACGAGGGAACTTGAATTCCCGAACAACCACCGGTTGTAAAATATCGTGTGGAAAGGAGAATTACAAATTATCGAAATATAGAAAATACAATTTTTGTTGATACCTGTAATTGTAAAGTAACTGAATAACCCAAACAGTGTGAAAGAAAAGTTGCAACAAGAAGATCCAGACAAGGTGTAAGTGATCATATCCATCGATTTTCTTGTTAGAAAATTGCATTTCCACTTTAACCTATTTAAAGTTTTTGTAAACTGATTATTTCTATTAACACTTGAATAAAGGTTTAAATCAAATCAAATCAGGCTGAAATAATTAATGTCATAATAATGTATCGCAGGTAAGCATCCGTTACATTCGTCGTTGCGATTACAGACGATGGCGAGCAAAGGGTTCACGTCCTATTCCATTCCGACTCGTACTGGTGTGGCTGCAGCCGTTGAAGGTCGTCGGTGTCAAAAGTGTCTCCTTCCCGGCCATTGGACGTACGAATGCAAAGGGAAGCGAAAAACGCTGTTGAACGAATCTCGAACAAAGTTACTCAAACAGCGAGTTGTGGAGGATTCTAAGGGTGAACTTACAATTGTTGCTCCTCCGTAAGTAGAGATCATTTCAATGCTAATTGTTATTTAATCAATTCAATTGAACTATCATTAACTCACGTTTTGCTTGTGTACAGGGTCGTGGAGGCTACTGCGCAGAAATCTAGTGACCAGAGTTCTGATTCGGATTCAGACTCATACAGGAAAAAGAAAAAACTCAAGAAAAAACTAAAAAAGAAGCAAAAGAAGGTCAAGGCCAAGAAGAGGAAGCTGAAGAAAGCTGCTAAAAATGACAGTGGGTCAGGTTCTGACTCGTCCAGTGACTGATATCTGAATAAATATTAATTAACACTAGATATAAGTTAAGTGCAAATTAATTGATGGAAACTAATGACAAATTATCCTCAATCTTCATACTCCGTATTTTAAATGACTCTTTCTATTCACCTCTGATGCTTCTCGTTGTTTGTAAAGTTGAGTTATTAATAAATTACTTAGACATGTCCATCAACATTTGTAAAATTTTCAGTATTTTATTGTAGTCTTATCTTTGACGGTACTACAGGTTACAATATACCTAAAATTGACTAGGCGTGCACCACCAGTTATATCAATTATTTTTTTACGCGTAATAACTTATTATAGTGTAAAAAAAGGCGAGTTCATACATAATCTTTATTAGTATAATTATTGGAAGGTATTACCAAATGTATAAAAATAAATCAAGTATCGAAGTTTGCAATGTGGAAATATCCATTTTAATTCTGGCAAAAGGAATTTTTATCATCACAGTCCTTTGTCTTTTGTACTTATGTTTTCCTTCGATTTTTATTGACTTATATTTTATAAGATGAGATGATTAACTTATAAGGGTTTTTTACTTGGTCCACTAAAGGTCTTGTCTTGAATCAGATATATGCGGAACATAATACATAACTTAAAAAATACCGACCTCGCCGTTTCAGCTATTGTTTGCGGCTGTAAAATTGCGGTTTTCCTGATCTACCTGCTTCCATTGATCAATTCATGGCATTCATTTTCATTAACCTAACAGCAAAGCTGCCATCTCCATATCCTTCAGAGTATCTGGTAAACGAAACGAAGACCAATATTGAACATAGTATTGCATTATGGATTATTAAGTTCAATTAAGTTGATTGTTTATTGATACTCACTCGTATTTTTTGTTCGTTAAGTAGGTCTTCACTGCAGGATATAGACGAGCTACATTATTCAGGGAATGTTTCCCGGACCCAGTTATTATGATAACTTCGCATGTTTCACCATTTGACAAGTTGATCATGGCCTTTCGATTCTGAAAATTATAATGTAATCCAATTATAATTCTAATGATTATAAAATTATATATACATACGTTTGAGAAAGGTAAAAAGTAATAAATAGAGTAGTTTTAGAGCCAGCGTACCTCCAAGAACTTTTTTACAGCTTCGACGGCTCTGCTAACCCGCATACCGTGCAGGTCAATCTTATTTGGATTATTATTCCCTATAAAACATTAATAGACATTAATGTTATTTGTGAACAGTTGCTCAAACTAAAATTATATAGGCCTTACCGCCATTAAGACCAAGCAGATTAAAATAACAGAACTGATCAAGGGCATCATTCATCAAGTTGTTATAACGACTCGCCTAAGAAATATTCAAAATCGGTATTCAATAAAACGGCTATGAAATCATTATATATCTGAAGTATCATGTATTGTGAAAACTCACCTCTGCAAGTTTATAGTTGTACGAACCATGTGTAGATCGCTGATGCTCGAGGGCTTCAGTCTTATTCTTCTTAAACAAGTCTTCATAACCTATAACTTCCTCACGCCACAAGCGAGCTTGCTCTAAATAGCTACTTTTCTCTGATTTCTGCAAAGAGTAAAAATACGTCCATTCAAGAGTTATAAATTCCAACAACAAAGTTTCGAACCTATTCAATTCAAAGTTTATACAAAACTTACTGGCATATGAGCAACAACTTCTGGTTCGTAGAACCAACCATTTCCTGACTCCGTCCGGTGCCTCGCTCGTGGGGAATCTTTCGGTTTATCGACAAATTTTGATGGGTAAACGTCTTTCAATGACGCCAATGACTTATCATAGTCAAATCTATTCTGGACATAAACTTCTTGTACTAAATTGGGTTGCAAGGCTGGAAAAAGGGATTTTAACTGAGAACACTTAATGTTCTGCGCCATGGTCCACTTAACGCTTGTCAACTCTTTATACGCCTTTAATTCCAAGGCAGCTTTTTCCTTTTCCGTTTCCAAAATATCTTTGAAGGCACTAGCTGTCTTGCCATTAACCACGACTTGGTGGTCATTGAGTCGCATTGCGAACTCCCTGTCACTCTCTTCTTGTTTGACATTCTTTAAGTATGTGTTCCAAGTATTTAAGGCATCTTCATCAGTGCTCAATTCAAAGGGATCACATTTTGCAGCCATTCTCGATGGAATACAGTCGTTCTTGGTAGAAATGTACATACGCCGGAAGAATTCAAAGGCACTATCGGCATTGAGCGAGATCGTCTTTTCTTGACCGACTAAGCGAGACAAATCAGCACCAGGTTGATTTCCATACTGATCAATTAGCACGCGAATAAATTGTTTTGGCACTTCTAATTCCACGGTGTACTCGTCTTCCTCATCTTCAATCAACCAATCTTCTTCTGATCCGTTCCAGTCATCTTCTTCTGACGCTGTTGGACTTGAATCACTGCGTATCGAAGGAGGGCTTCCGTCCTTCTTCTTCGTGTCATCGTTGTTATTATTTCCTGAATCTTCCCCTCCGCCGCTCCCACTGGATTCTGAAGATTGCGATGATGATGCAAATTGGAGACTATTATCAATCATATTTTTTAAATATTCCATATTTTATTTAATTGTTAATCGAGTCACTAGATGATCAAAATAAGCGTAACGAAGCACTACTACGAATTACTAATCACTTCAGAATCACTTCAGGATGGCATTTTATTTCGAAAATTCTATTAGACTTGGTTAGTGAAGGCAAAGGAGGGATAACTGGAACACCAAAACTATTACTCATCGATGACAAAAAAGAGTATTTAGAAACTACACGTTTTACAAAAGAATACATTTAGGTCAGTTGTAAGCCTTTGTTAAGTATAAATTTGACCAGTAGAATTAATTAGTAAATTAATATCTAGCAGACTGATTATTATAGAAAGTATGAAGTGGCAGGCAGAAAGTGGAGTTGCAAGTGGTTGGTTTTTCTCTCGAGTCAAGTGTGTGAAGGTTGCGAGAGTCCACGTGATGAAGTTTTGGAGGGTTGCGAGGGTTGAGGCAGGGTGAGGTGAGGTGGCACCAAGGTAAACAATCGCCAAGCTGCCCTCTTTGTCTCCTATTTCATGAGGACCACTTGACGACTTGGCTTGGAAATTCCAAGTTGCAATGCTTCTTCAACTTTGGTCGAGTGAGGATATGAAGTTATGTTTTATATTTTTATTATTATTATTGCAAATGTTTTGATTGGGTGTTTTCCGTTGAGAGTAATCTGTCATGAGGAAATTGGGAAATACCTGTTACGATTAGTACATACATAAATCAGCATAGTAAGACGTAGTAAGTAACACGACGCGACACAGCATTGAGATCGGATTAAACTACTTCTCCATGGCGTCTGCAACTTGCAATAATAAAAATGAGATTGGCACATAGGATTGACAACTCGCTGAGCAGCGTTTAATGATAACATGTGCATGCTGGATATCAAGGCAACACAACTGGCTGTGTGGTGGTGGTGATGATAATTCTTCGACGTTGAGTTATTTTCTAAGCATTCGTGCAAATGATGTTTACTTTTATCTATTAAATGTCACAGGCTCGAGAAAACTGCAGAATTGTATGAACTTATGTCAACGTCTAATTTATTCACACTACAAAATCCAGCCTTATAGTTGCACTTTTGTAATTTTATGTGTCCTCAAGTCATGTGACGCCGGTCAATCCACAGCACAGGCAAAAAAGGCAATGTGTCCCTTCCCATGATTTCGCAATCGAAAAACTGACCTCAGACTCGAAATCAACGACCAAAAAACTATAGAATCGACATTTTCTCAACCTCAACAATGTTGAAATAATTAACTGACTTGACCATTTTCAAGTCAGGTCACTGAAACATTTTCATGCTAAAGTTACATTTTGTGGTTGGCACTGTAAAAATGAATAGGAATAAGTTGTTAGTTGTGATTTGTACGTGATATGTAGTTAAGTACGCAAATCCATAAGAAAATTTTTAATTTTGGCTAGGTATACTCATAAATTATATAATTTGGGTTTAGTTTTGGTAAAACTTCTTTAGTAAATATTCAAAGCATAGATATTGCATAATAAACAAGTTGGAAAATAAAAACATCATCATTCATAAAGTACTAAATAACTAACGCTTTTTAGTTTTACTTTAATTTTTCAATGGAACAGTAGGGGCTGGCATGCTCAGCTTGACGAGGGGATTCTTGCCCTCGATCAAAGATGTTGTAAGCATCTTATCCATACGTATGGTCCAAGCATAAATTAAGTTGTCCACAGTTTTGAGATACACGGTAAGCTCTTGTTCCTCTGTAAACTTTTCAATATAGTGATAGACCTCGTCTTCACTTACACCGGGGAGTACTTTGATTGGGATTGAGACTTTAAGAGCAAACGCTTTGTCCTTGCAAAAGTAAGACGGGAGGGGCTTTATCATTGTAGAAGTAATGACATCATAATTTCCATAATCCAGAAAAACTACTTTGTACTCGTCTTTGTCTGGACAAGCCTCCAAAATTTTAGCTCTATAGTAGCTTAAATCATCTTCAATGTTTTGCCTGGCCGCGACGTAAGTTCCATTGATCAGAGATGAAGGATCCAGTTGAGGGACATTATTCCAGATATTCAAAAATTCGGTAAGTTCTTCACTTAGTCCATCTGCTCGATGGTCGTCACCTTCTAGCTGAATACAAATCGAGTCATAATTTTCTATGAAAGACACAACTCCTTCATATTGAACTCCCGACATGTATGCTGAGGGGCCACTAAATAGTTCCTTCGCAAGATCCTGGTCGATCATTGGAAATTCGTGGTCAACGTTTGTATAGTACTTGCAGAGGTTTGGCTTTCTTAGGCCAAAATTACGAAGAAGTGGTTTCCCTTCTTCTGAGGCGAGGGTCACTATACATCTGGAGGGAGAGAGACAAGTGTGAAGGTTAAAACGCAGTTTAAATAATTAAAAATCTCTACTTCATTATCTTACTTTCGAAATTCTCGGGGATCAACGCCATCAATGAAACCCACAAGACCTAGGTAACATTCCAGATTTTTTTCAATAATCAACTCCATCAATTTGCCCTTGATGGCTTCATCTGAAGGAAGTTTGTTCGGGTCCGCTGCCATTAGTCCTGCTAAGTAGCAGGGTGTGGCTGCTTCAGGAATCTCAACGAGTTCATTCGGAATTTTGAGCATCTAAAACATAATTCATGACGATACGATTTAATGCGACATGAACTATTAGAGTGATTAGTTTCTAAAATTAAAACTTACATCTTTTTCCTGAACATTGACAAAGTCTCCGTAGTCTACCAGTTTCACCAAGTACCCATCCCTTGACTTTTGAAAAATGGTAGCTCGATAATTCATTTTGTCCTCGCCATACGCAACAAGAACAGCATCGCCAATATCCTTTGAAAAGTCCTTGGCCTTTAAGAACAGTGCACATTATTAATAACACAAATAATCGAGTGATAAGAAGCCTTCTTAAAGAAGGTACGAATAGAATAACTTATTTATATAGTGTATTAAGTTAAGCATATTCTTCACTTCGTTCGTACTACGAAGTTCGTAGTGACTAGGGAGTAATTTTACTTACGTCGTTGGAAGTAGAGTCATACGTCAACAATCCAGCGTCAACAGCTTCCATTATAGATGGATGCAGCTGAAGATGAACTTTGAAATTCGATCCCACTTTTGAAATCTTTGTCCCAAAGACTCCGATTTTCTGTCCAATCCAATCACTGTAATCATATCGAGGATACTTTCCAAGCATTTGTGGCCCTAAGTTATGTAAAATAAATTACAATATATTAATATATACATATCTCATCCAATAGTAATATCATCGCACAATCTGATTTATTAGCACTATTAATTGAGGTCGATCAATATTATGTCAATGAATTTGGAAAAATATTTTACCTTCATCATTGGTGCCATAAGTAATTAGGGGAACAAAATCAGCTAAACCCAAATTCATAACCATTTCGAAGCCAACATCCTTCTTGTCACACGTGAGCCGAACTTCAGAGACCTCACGGTCAATGAAAGAAATTTCGAATACTGACGTATTCTTTCCTTGGAACAGCGACTTGTAGTCATACTTTTTCCACTTTTTCTTTTCCTCAAATGGGACAACTTGAGCAAGACGGCACATTAGCGAAAGCTTCGGAAGTCGCAAAAGTTCAGTTGACGACGGATATATGGAATCAGCCGAAACCAAAATATCTACTCCTGAATCCACCATGTACACGTTCACGCCCTTCTCGTTAACTAAATTGACCTCTGCTCGGCGAAGTTTGCTATGAAATATACAAACATAGATTTATTATTTTATCGTAATCGTATGCTTATTAGCAATGACATAAATCCCATTCATTATCATATCATACCCATCCTTAAATTTGACAGTTACAGGAAGTCCGTCCTTCAGACAGGCAACGTCAACCGGTGCACAACCGGCAACGTCTTGCAAATGAAGATTCATTGCCTCCTTAATCTGCCTTTGAATTAACAGGGACGTCCAATCATTAACGATGAGTGAAAAATTGTCCGGGCTAATAGCACTCAGCAATTTGTACGAGTACTTCTGATTGATCATCAATGGACGATCCGGATAGCACCATTTGTCCTTAAGAGTGTCCAAATCCTTATCAAGCAACATTTCGGCGTAATCAGTCGTCGTACTGGTTCCTACAACAAGAAAGAAAAGAAACGGCGATATTTAACTCTAGTTACAAATTTAAATCTAGTTACTTGACCTTTTGACCTACCTACACGTATTATTTTCTTCCTTTCCCTAGCAAACCTTACTAGAGGCAGGTTTCTTCTTCGGTGAGGAGAAAAGAACAAAATGGTGACTAACTTGTGGACGAGGAGGCGAAGAAGATGCAGTTGGCATGTAGATTATTACACAAATGATCACAAGGTGGCAGATGCAGTGATGGCACGCTCTGATTGACAAGAGTTACATGAATTTATGGCAACTTCTAATTTATTCATACAAAATCCAGCCTTATATTTGTAGCTTAATAATTTTGTGTTATTTTAACATAATTAATTGGCCATGTGCCCCTTCTCACGATGTTCCAATCGAAAAACTGACCTCAGATTCGATATCAGCGACCAAAAAACTATAAGAATCGACATTTACCCAACGCTAACGACATCGAAATAATTAATTGAATTATTCGTAAATAACTGTAAGCACGTGAGATAAGCGGCTATAAGTTATAGCGGCTTATCTCACATGCTATAGCCTATAACATATGTATGTGTGATACCTACGTGTGTATGATAAGTGGCTATACGCGTATAGCTATGACACATGTGTAGGTAACTAGTGTGATAAGCGGTTATGCGCGTGTCAGCCGTATAACACATGCCTTTGACTATAACATAGATAGGTATGGCAGGACTTTCTCCACTTTCACCGCCCTTCAGAGGGTATAAAAGGAGCTGAACGAGAATTTTTTGTCAGTCTGCGGGCGGAGCTCGCGGGGGACGGACATGTCCCTGGGTGAGCTCCCCATTGCAGCTGCGCCCTTGGGCTGCCCTGCCTCTCTGGGGAGTCGGGCCCACCACTGGCTTCGGCCGGTGATCCGACTCTCTTCCCGTTGGAGGGGTGGTCCGGGGGAGCAATACTGTAAGGGGAGAGCCTTACGGGAAGTCCCCCTCCAATGCTCCTCCCACCAAGCAGACTCACCGGGTGGGGAGCCGGCGGGGCTTGCCAAAATGCGTGGTGGCGCTAGGCAAGTGAGGGGGCTCTCTACCTCCAACCCTTGGGTGACCGGGCTCCTTAGCTTGCACTCCCCTTGGGGCTGGCCGGGTTCCCGAGTTCGAAGCCTTAATGGGGGCCGATTTACGGGTGCGCTCCCACCTCGTAAGGCGAGGGTAAGACGAGCCCCCATGGGGAACGCGGTTGCAGAGGCGGCGACGTGGGCAGGGTTTTCTCGGTCGGCGGGAGGTAGACGTCCGCGGACGCCTTCGGGCGAGAGTGGAGGCCCGCCCGCGTGGAGCACGAGGGAGCGACGTCCTCGTCGTGTGCTCTGGAAACGCCCTTCTCAGGGCGGCCAACAGCTCCCACCAGCTGTAGTGTAGGCATGGCATGGCGACAAATTTCATCGCCATGCCATAATTGTTGTATTTAATGGCATCATTCATTTTCTCCATGTTATTTACAAGTATGATCACAAGCTAAACATTTACACAATATCATAACTCTAGGCGTAATAAACTGCTTTCATGGATATAATAAAATAATCCTCGTTTCGATAGTAGATTATGATGGTCTGTGTGCATTAAAAGGAAACCCAGTTTTGCATAAGAAACACGTATGTATGTACTCACGTTTTAATGCCCAGACAGTCCCTTCGGAAGTGTAATTCAATACCTTAATAATGCTCAGACGTTCCAGGTAAAGTGTAATCAAACATGTTACTTGTCCCAGTTTGCTACCACAACTCACTGTCAGTTTCAACCCTCACTGACTTGTAGTTAGTTGTATTCCAACAATATGGAAGAAAACTTAACCTTAAGGTACGAACATCATGCTATAAATCTGCTAAATTTATAAATCAGTTTTATTCTCGTTTGAAACTTTTTTGGTAGCAATTGCCCTGGTCTTGAAGCTTTGGATTTTCGTCCACATCATCCCTGTTTCAACTTATCTGACACCAAGCCCGTGAGTGAATTCATAAATTATGGCTTGATTTTGTCACAGGAAATAAAGTTCTTACTCGAGTTTCATTAATTTTTTAAAATTAAACTTGTCTGTTTAGTGTGATGAAGAATGGCCGTGTGAAATTCGTCTGTTTTGGCTACAAATTCATCCCTTCATTACATTGACGAGAACATTTTTATCTTACGGAAGTCTTGTCATCATCACATTGGGTTCGGAAAGATTGCCGTCAATAGTTTACTGCATGAGACTTTATGAAATTTACTGGAAAATTTGGATATCTATTTCAGGCATAATTCTCAACAGTCTCTCAGTCTATATTTTTATCTCATCCGGTCTTGCCAAGAATGGGAGTGGCGTCTACTTAATCGCATTGGCTTTCTGCGATACTGGCAACTTGATTGTCAATATTTTAATTGGGGTGTGGAGAGGAGCCAGTCACGAATTCAATGGATATTTTATGGTAGCGATGATATGCACAAATTTATTAACTACTACATACTAACTCCACTTCTACTAACTAATGCCATGTTGCATACTAATGTATTAAATCGCTCAGGAAACCGAATGGCTATGCAGAACTCATGGCGTTTTCGTCGAAGTATTTCAAACCATTTCTGCCTGGATCGTCGTAGCGTTCACCGTGGAACGCTCCCTCGCCGTGTGGTACCCAATGTTATTTCGACAGAGTAGGAACCGACGAGCCAAAGTGGTGGTGGCAACTCTTGCCACGGTTTTTACACTTTTCTGCCTCTCAAAACTGTTTTTAACGGGTACTTGTGGATAATATGATGAATGAACGTTTCATAATGTCAAAGTGCTTAATTAAATTCTTTATTTTCCTTGTTACACACAGGTTTCGAAAAGGACAGCGTTTTCGGTTACGTTCCATGCAACTCGCAACGCTATGTTTGGGAAGGAATGGCCTATGTTCGAATTGCATTCCAAACTTGGATACCCACCATTATCGTTTTCACTTTTAATTGCCTCATGTTTTGGAAACTTCGAAAAATCAAAATCAATCGGCAGCGACTTACAGGTTGCATTTTTAAACTACATTTATAAATTCCATCTCATAGTATTTTTTTCTGAATTTGCAATTAACTGATTTTATTTTAGAGCATACAAGAAATCTCCCCAACAGGTCAGGACCTCAGCGGAAACACAGTTTTATTAATAAACCCAGCCCCACGAACCCGATGCTGATTGCCGTCTCTCTTGCCTATCTCGTACTAGTCTTCCCCTTGGGTGCCGTACAAACTGTGGAATTATACTGGAATTTGCACCACCATGCTCCAATTTCAGTACTGGAGCCACAAAAATCTGCATATGTCCACTGGTGAATAGTAAAGCTTAATAATTCGTCTACCTCTATATACAGCACACACAATTGTTTTTTCCTTGTTTAGGTTGATGTACAAAATCCTCTTGAAATACATCCGGTCATTCTTCTTTGGGTTCTACCAATTTAATTTCGCCATCAACTTTTTCCTATATTTTGCTGCCGGAGTTGAATTTCGTCGTTACCTGCAAAAGAGGGTTAAGCGGATGTACGCCGTGGCGACGGCCAAATGCTCTTGTGGGAGAATCACGGAAGGAAATGGACCTTTACAAAGTTGTGCTTCAAATGCCTCCAACGCTACTAGCACGTCCGCTTTGCCCTTGCATTCTTCCCCTTCCACAAGCACGCTTGTCCAAATGGTCAACGCTCCAATGAATATGGCACAATTAAAAATGATGACGTTATAGTTGAAGATCTTTAAATAGTTTAAAATATTTTATATTTCATAGTTGGGAATAATACAATCCATTTGAATGTGCACGATAAATTTTCTAATGAATAAGATACGAGATTAACGGTTCATGGTGGTTTCTATTTGGCGATTAGAATTTTGTTTCACAATTTGCAAGTGAAAGATTGCGTTACATTTTTTCTAAGGTTTCTCAGGTTAGGATAGGATCTAATAAATCATAATATATAGACAACTTGCAAGATATCTTCATATCAGGAGGCATCATTGAAAGCAGGAATTGCTGTGTTTTTTTCCTGATTAGACTAGGTTTATCTATAACATTTCACAAGAAAGTTTGACACAATATAAAATGATGGTCCAATGAATGATATTGTAGCACTTGGATATTTACAGTTTAAAAAACATTGTGAAAACGCATTGGCTATGTAGAGTAGTATTTATCTAATTAATTAGAGGAGTTTTAGTAGCCGTATTTTTCTTGAAGGGATGACATGACTCCATTTGCAAGGTTACTGATTTTTCCGGCAACTTTTGTAACGCCTTGCCGTACGCTTTCTTTGACATCGTCCAGATCAACATTCTATGAAAGGAATGCAAACAGGGAGGGTCATAACCATGCCAAATGTTTTCAAACTAAATCACCGATAATTATTCTGACATACATACCTGCATATTGGAATAGGAACCAGCAGCTTCATTCCTCTGTCGTCCATCCCCAAAGTAATCTGCAGAAGAAATGGAAGTAGATCCTTCAAAGCGTGATAAGTTGGTCCTTCGTTCGTACTACGAATTTTAAATCAAGTTTCACTTATCGTTATTCGAAATACCAATCTAAAATATATCATTTAGGTTAAATGTTCATCATACATCATTGTCATCCCCGCCACTGAAAAACTGATCGGAAGAAATGGCTTTAGCTTTCCCAAACTTTTTCTGCGCCTCATCACCAGCAACTAAAGAAGACGTATTTGCCGACTCGCGTGGTTTTGATCGTGTGGTGTAGTGAGAATCTTCTTCGCTGTATTTTTTGGCCGTCGACTGACGATTAAAGTCCCAATCATCATTGCGTTTCGGTGCGGTTGTCAATCTACGTAAATAAATGTACAACGTTACATATGTGTCGTGTGTCTAATAATAATGTTAGTAATTAATTTTCAATTTTAAACTTACCCTTCAAGGCCTGTAACATTATGTGTTGTTGCCTCATCCACAACTTCATAATCGTCGAAAAAGGAATCACCAGAATCAAATGCGGAACGAGTGGAAGACAATCCGCTGCTCGTAGTATTACTATTAGAATTTCCTCTAGTAGACGAACTTGGAGCTTGCTGATCTATCGTTTGCATGTCGGACATCATGGAATGACTGATCCCGCTGAATCATTAACGAAAGAATTACTATTTCTATCTCTACTCTATAGAATTGATCTAGAACTGAGGATAAGCAAGTAAATACCTCCTCATGCCGAATCCCATTCCGAGACGTTCGACCTGATCTGCCTTCTTTGGATCCATAGTCCTCAAATTATTAGCCCGTTTAGTCTGTTGTTTACTGAGGTCTTGATATGCTAAGCTCATTGTGATTCGCTGTTTTATGATATTAAGTTAATAAATTACATGACAATCCTTAGTTGATTTCATAAAGAATTATTTTAATAACTGATGCTCACCTGGCGTTCATCTTGCTCCGCTTGTCGCTCCTTATCCAGTTTGGCCTGCTCGACAGCCCTTTCTTTCATTTGATCCATCATTTCTGCTTCTTTCTCAATCTCAGCGAAATCGGCTTTCACTTTCTGAGCTCCTAGGCCACCTTTCTTTGCACCCAACTAAACAGTGAGAGTAAAGTATTAATTTAATATTGAGAGAAGATATACGACATCGTGAATCCATCCAATCTTTGAATGAATACCTTGTTTCCAGGTTTTCTCTGTCCAATTGTGGATTTTCGGGGGGCAGATGATCCTGGGGTGGATCCAGAGAGAATTCCATCAACACTAGGCCCATCACCAGCTTGATTATTTGAACTCTAAAATTAAATAATTGAATCAATGATAAACCGGACGCTTTTATCCAAGCTACCCAAGCCATTAATACATTACCTTGGGTTCGAATAACCTCATTCCATTGTCTATCGCCAGATTTTCCGTCTTTTGAGCAACTTTATGAATCTCGTCAAAAAAGTCAGCCTCTTTTTCTGTGTGACTTGCATGCGATTTCTCCTCAAAGACAATCTAAAACGATAAATAGACAAAATATACTCTATCTACTAATGCTTAATTTATTAGATTTACTTTGTAGAAATCAACTTACCTGATTACCATGAAGCCGATTATGCTTTGAAACTTGCTGACTTAATTTCTCTTTGTACAAGACGGCGGCCCTTGAATGGTACTTTTGTTGGGCGTCAACGGAAGTACAATTGTGCTGGGCGAAAAACGCTTGCTGCGGAAAAAAAGAAGAAATATATAGTATTCCTAATTCTACCCAAATTTAATTTTTACACGTTCTTTTATAAATGAGACATCTTACAGCATTTGCGTTTCCTCCAAGTTGCATGCACCGAAGTTGATTCCTCGTCCAATTTGTGTCGAGCTGAATTGACCTCACAAAAGAAACATGAACTCCAAGAGAACGATGGACGGCAGAACAATCAATGCAAATAAAGACGCCATATGTCACGCTGGCCCAGGTAGGATTAGATGCATTGCAGTCAAAACAAACCTAATTTATATGAATAGATAGAAATTATTTATTATTCCACAAACGTTGATCATCGTCAATGATCCTAATTCAATTTTTTTCTCTGACTCACCCGATTTGCCGAATTAGTTTTCAGTTTCCGGAAAATCTCTTGAATTTCCGCACTGTTATTCGGACCTTCGTCAGCCATCTCACTAACCAATTAAACCACCACTACTAATTGCTACTGGATCCGGATTCTAAATTAATAAGATTTCTGTGTCCTGTAATTAATAATTCAAACTTTTATTAATAAATCCAACTGTCGATCAAATTAACACCCAACCCAGGTAGCCATTCAAATCAATTGTCTATCTCCAATTATGCTACGTACTAAATGTCATATGACGTGTCCTTATTCGTTAATTGAACAATTGACTTACCGTTTTCTAAACAAGTGAAATTTTTCAATACCACCCAATCGGTTTCTAACTGGGCTTTCTTTTTCTTAAGAATCCCCTTAGAAAATGGAAGATAAGGTAACACCGATAGGACACACAAGACTGCAAATTTTAAGTTTCGAAAATCTTCACTTGACCCAATCGGCTGACAAATAATGACTTGACGTGACGATGACGATGTTTCTCAGATGAACTTTCAAACCACTACACGAGTAATTCCACGTCAGCCCCAATACAGGTCCTTTCTCCTAGTGCCGTATTTTCCATTCTGAAATGACTTGGAAAGCAAAATTGGAAGAAATTTCTACAATCCTTTATATTTCTAGGGAATCAAAATAGATTCAAAACTACACTACGTTTTGAAAATTTTCATGAAATTTTAAAGGCCTCAGTGGTTATGGCACTGCCACTCCTCAAGTTTTTGGCGAGATGGCGCTTGTCTCATGTCTCAGCAGAACATTTGCAGAATAATAATATCCTGTTTCATCTTAGCAAAATGAGACGATGACAGAAAAGATGAGAATTCTCATCCTTCCCCCCAAAAAAAGTTATTTTATGAAGAGATACTCCGATGTTTTTGTCATAAAGACAGTTGCAATCTTTGGCAGTTATTTCTGAGAATTATTGTTCGTGACATGTATTGTGTTGTTATTTGGTGAATGACATTTCAGCTTCTCGTTCATTTAACTCTATAACAGTGTCAGTTTCCTTGCAATAAAGTAATTCTTGACACAAAATAAGTTTTCTTTCGCCAACTCTTCCTTTCTTTTTTGACTTGGTGGTTGACATCTCAATCCTCTTCGCTTTGTTGGCGAGTCCAGCTTGAATCGATTATGGGGCGATTTCTTCTTCTTCCTTTTTTTTACTGCTACCTGCCATCCGTTTTTTACGATGATACGTTCTCGTACACAGACAGTTCCGAAATAAGTACAATATTATTCCCAACAAGCAAGGATGAAAGGAAAACATGCATCGTTAAGAATTATTACGATATTTGACCTGGGATAGCCAGGGATGTACGTACAAGTTTACTGCATCATGTCGTTACAATGTTAAGCATTAACAAGATTGGTTCCAGGCATGTGAAAGGTTTTCGTTCAAGTCGTAAATAGGATGGCACATTCACATTGGTGGCGAATATGTATACCTAAGCGGATGAATAAACAAAGAATTGTTGCAGGTGAGACACATACGTAGTAGAAATAGTGCATGGCGGTTTGGTGGGTGGGTGGGTGGCAGATGTTCCTTGATCCCTTCGAAGTCTCACATTTCTTTTTGTATAATACTGATCCATGTTATGGGCGCTGGTCAAAAGGAAAGTCAGGAGTAATATGAGTAGCCGCATATTCTGGAAATGGATGAAGAAAGGGTCCTTTCTTTCTTTTTGTGCAGTTGGCTCGTGCCAGTAATGTTTTGGTATTTGCGCCACAAGCCAAGCCAAAGGCGTCCGAAATAAGTTATATCTTCGTCGAGTTAACTGTCTGTCTGTCAAGAAAGAAATACCTGGACTGGACTTGGTGTCATATATTTTTGAGAAAGGAAGATGTTATCTTTCCTGGTCAGCGTTTGACATTAGCGACAGGAGAAAAGGCAGATTTGCACGAGTTTGCGATTTAATGGAAGATTTGACGTGTAATGAAGCGATGAATCTGGAAAGCGACAATAAATACAAGTCTTTATACCGTCGACACTTCTTATACTGCACAAAAAAATTAAGGTTTACGATAATAAGAATAATGCGTTAGTAGATTAACTATGGAAGTCGTCTTCTCGTCTTGGACTGTAGCACGTGCACTGGTGTTTCCTATTGAGTCACTAATTACTACTTGAGCACAAAAGGCCACCACGAAAGGCACGTTCTTCACCTTTAGAATTTTCTTTCAACATCTTTTAAACACGGGTTCATAGTAAAAATTACAATGGTAATTTCAGATTTGACTGATGCTCCTCGTACACCAATTATTGCGAGGGTGCGGATGGAGAAGAGCACATCTGCCAGAAAGAAGAGTTGTTTGGGCCTACATTCATATACCTACTTGTACATATATCTTTTCTGCTGTAACCGTTGATTCAAGAAGCAGTAGTCGCATACATAAATAAACCGTCGCAAACGCGCATACGGAAGTAGCTTCAGACTACTTCACTCCAAGCACTCCCACGACATCGCGGGAACACTTGATTTTACTGTATTTCATCTATACATTCAATTTTTTCAAAAATCTCATTTTGCCCCGACCACACCCCCTAGTGACGAGGGGGTGTGGCACAACTCGGGAGCACTTTATTCTACTGTATTTCATCTATGCATTCAATTTTTTCAAAAATCTCATTTTGCCCCGACCACACCCCCTGGCGCCCGGGGGGTGTGGCACAACGGGGGAACTCAAAATTTCACTCCATTTCATCCATAGATTCAATTGCACTAAAAATCTCATTTTGCCCCGACCACACCCCCTGGCGACCGGGGGTGTGGTCCGGTTGCACCCAAAAGTTGATAGGATCCTCCCCCTGGGGTATTATGTATGATGGCGAAAACCGATTTCGATTATCTTTATCCGTTCTCCCGTTATCCTGCTGACAGACAGACGGACAGACAGACAGACAAAGTCTTCACATAAAGTAGCTGAAGCTACTTAATAAGCATGTGTACATGAATGAAATGAAAATGAAGAATGATCAGCATGCAATGTGTCAGTCAGTCTATTTTTCCACCGAATATTCTTTTATTCCAGTCTAATTCAAACTCTACTCTCAAGTCGCACCTGAATCCGATATGAACTGAACTGTATTATATATTTACGCGTGTACGTCGTGCTAACCAGTCAATTAAAGCAGGCACAAAACCTCTTCTTAATCATTTTTCTTGTACCAGGTATGGAGAGTAGAAGGAGGACCGAGTGTGTGCCCTTGAACAGTATTTTATTTTACGGCAGCAGCACAAGTGGTGTAACTTGAGTTTTGAAACAGGAAGTCTTTCAGAATATGTTCGCTCAGAGTCAGCAGAGAAGTTCGAATGGATCTGTAAATGTTGCCATTTGGTAAATTCAGCTGCTCTTGTCCGTACAGTTTATGTAATGGGACTCATCATGACCATAAAGTCGAAAACTCTAAAAACCTCATCAAACGACTAGGTGATGCTTTTTGGTAACCAAGATTCTTCTGCCATTTGTGGACAAAAGCGAGAACTTGAGCTAGACATTCGTCAAAATATACACAAACAAAGTATTACATACACAAGTTTGTATTACAGTTGGAAAAATATTTACACACCCAAAATCCTTCTGAATCTGGCATTTGGTTTGGCATTTATCCTTCGCTTCGTCCTGCAACGTAAGACTTATTCGAGCCGACGGTGCAAAGTAGTAAATTTGTAAAATCGATGATGAACGCAAGCAATAAAATCAGATTTTCTTCCCAGAAATGGGAAAATGAAAATAAATTCATTTCGGATAAATTTAAGTGAGAGACAAAATTATGGTTTAATTTAGTTCAGTATTCATGGAACTTTTTGCTGCGGAAATAAAATCCGGTAAGAGCAGACAACCCTACGTGGATGCAGAACGTATAGGAAATATCTTTGGGCGGAATCTTTCTTTCCAGATGACAACAAACATAAAAGGTTTGGTGTGTTAGGAATGGTTTGAAAATGTGATAGGAACTTGGCTTCCGTTTTCAAACCCTTTAAATTTTTGAGAATCCAACTCCATCCATATTGCTCAGCACCTACCAACGCTACCAAATAGTCACCCTCCTACCCACCAACCAACCATAGGCCACATGATCTGATCTCATTGAACTGAATGTGTTTCGTCGTGAATATTGAGGATGTTATGTTTGGACGGAACTGGAGGAGAGGCCTTTACGTCCGACGTAAATAACACAACACCCACCCAACCAACCAACTTGTAAATGTACAAACGGTGTAATATCATCACCCTCTCGTTCCAGCTTGACTTTTCCAGCTTGTTAAAGTTTGAATGGAAAGAGAGGAATGAATTTTTGTTGATGTATTTGTCGCATCGGTAATAAACCGGCTGGAGAATTACCAACAATAACTTGAATGTTGAGGCAGACAAGAGGTATTAAAATTAAAATGAATGAGTCACTAACTAACTGGAGTGTATCTGAGAGAAGTCAGGCGTGACAAATAATTAAAGCAAAATGCTAACCGTATAATGGCAAAAACAGTTGGAACTGTATTTTTGAAAAATTCTAAATTGAGACGCATCACACATAGCTGATGTGTACCCTATGGAAGATCATCCCTAAAATTTCCAGCCGAAAATAAGAGAGAAAATAAGATAAGAATTATCCCCCTCCGGAAACATATGGGTAAGATCTTCCGTTTTCCATAAGTTTAACTTCGGTATTTAGGAGGAGGGTTCGCCAAGTTAGGAAACCCAGATATTGATGTCCTTTGGATATGTTAAAGTACCCTAAGAGAACATTAAAGGTGACCAGCGATTTGATGCCAAGGTCACATTTGTGCCAACCACACCCCTTTCAATGGGCGCCCAATCATATACTTGCCGCACTAAAACCATGACTTAAATTCAATTTTCCAAAGATTTTCCTAATTTTTACATATTCGTGTTAGTTGCTTTATCATATTCGACTTCAATCTCAACTTTTTTGAAAAAAAACTTACATTTTTTAAAGACAAACCCCTGCTCAGGAAATATTCGAAACTGTCAAAAAAGTCCCAAGTTTCCCAACTTGGTGAACCCTCCCCCTAGTTTTAGTAGAACTGGACAAGACCAAATATTTTCCGTTTGTTATAACCATCATCAACAACTTATTAAAAGAAAACCTCCAAACCCTGCATGAAATAAGCCGTCCTTTACAACACACTGCTGGCAAATGTAGCAGTGCACAAAGTGAGACATGTGTGTGCTGTGCATGAGACAAAACTGGTTTGCATTTGCAGCTTTACTTCTTCTTCGACTTTTCCACTCGCACATTCCGCCTGCTATTACGTGAATGAAGAGGAAGGCTTTGAGCTTTGGGAAGCAGAGAGTCAGATAAAAATTGCCGGAGTGGGATGAGAATCGTTCAGTCTCATCTTGCTACTCCAACTTTGAGGATTGTGCTAAAGTGAGTCTTTTCACGTTATTACCAGCATCGGTATCGGATACAAAGTGCTATCAAATATTACAACCATACTTTTGCCCCAATATTTGGACAATATCCACAATTGTGTTGTTTAGTTTTCA